TAATCTAAGCAATGATATGAAGCAAGGAGTGCAGTTGTCTGTTCAGGGGATGCAATCTTGAATGTGAAATTCAAAATTCTACTTTTGCAAAATATGCCACCACATCCCAACATACATCAGAACATTATTTCCATTTCTATTTCCCAGTCACCCTGGACTCAGTCTTGTGCTCAGGTTCAGAGGATTTTGTGTTATGAGTGGGGTGTCCTCCATGTCCTTACCTCTTGATGGTGCAAGTGGAGCTCTTGGGGTGACACTGGAACAAGAATTTCCTGAGGCCCCCACTGGAGGGTGAAGTATCCAGAAAGCATTATTGATGAGGTAGCATTAAGGGATTTCCCTTCCAAGGTCCGTCTCCCTCTGTCCCACCATGGGAAAAGTCCCATCTTTGTCTTCAGTCCTGCTACAAACAAAACCACTGCCCAGAGTTTCCGTCCCATGTTAAAGCACAATCCAGTCCTGGCTCTGGCTAGCATAGCTTGTGTTCCCAGCTGCAGTCTATTGTGCATGGGGTCCCCAAAGCCATGGGACACTTGCCGCGTGGTGCAAGTCACAGAGCAAGTGGGTACAAAGGCAAGCAAGCAAGAGGAACAAGAGAATTCCTTTGTCTGGGGATTATGTATTCCGGATGTTCTTGGGCTTGCATTGGGGTCCACCCTCCTGCCAATAATCTTTGTTCCCAGGCTAGACTGACAGGAAAGCACTTTCCCTAACCATCTCGACTTCACTGCACATGCACAGATTTCCCCCTTTGTTCACCCAGTGATTTGCAGGGAATAAGCCTGTAGTTCCCTGGTGAGAGTGAACTCACAGCTTATTGGTGAGATTCCCAAGAGGACCATGCTTATAAAGTCTGGCCTTTCCTTTGCTTTCTTCCTATTTTTAATATTAATAAACTAGGTAACATAAGGACAAGAGCTGGAAGGATGAAGCATGTGATTGAAAGATGAAACAGAGTGGGCCGGAGACACAGGTGTTATTGAAGAGTACCACTGCCAGCTGCTTCCAGAGGAAGAGAGCGAGGGCTGGGGTGCACCACCTTTTAAGGGGAGGAAAAAGAGGGGGCCGGGCTTAGGGCACTCAGCACACGCTGATTGGTGGTTTCATGTAAGGCACATGATTAGGGACCTAGGGACTTAGAAACCAGGGGCTTAGGGTATTTGGCAGGAGCTGATTGGTGGTTCAGTGCTCAGGAATGTCTGGCTGCAGGTGGAATTTACATCCGTCCCTCAATTGGAGGAAGGGAGGATCTATCAGTGATAATTTATTTTTTTTAATATATTTTATTGATTTTGTACAGAGAGGAAGGGAGAGAGATAGAGAGTTAGAAACATCGATGAGAGAGAGTCATCGATCAGCTGCCTCTTGCACACCCCCTACTGGGGATATGCCCGCAACCAAGGTACATGCCCTTGACCGGAATCGAACCCGGGACCCTTCAGTCCCCAAGCCGACGCTCGATCCATTGAGCCAAACCGGTCTCGGCTATCAGTGATAATTTAGGTAACCATCTATTTAAAAAAAATTTTTTTAAATAATCCTCCCCTAAGGATATTTTCCCATTGATTTTTAGAAAGAGTGGAAGGGAGAAGGAGGGACAGAGAGAAACAACAATGTGAGAAACACATCGATTTGTTGCCTCCACAGGTCCCCGACCAGGGCCAGGAGCCTACAACAGACGCATGTGCCCTCCCCGGAATCGAACCCAGGACCCTTCAGTCCACAGGCCAATGCTCTATCCACTAGGCCAAACAGGCTAGGGCTAGGTCACCATCTATTTAAAATACATACAGCAATAAATTTTACAAAATAAATATAAATTATATTGGTATTTATATATTCTACACTTGAAACTGAAAAACTCAAAATACCTTTGTTGAGAGAAACTTTTCTGCCATCGTAATTCATTTGTCATTAACTTCTGTATATAATACAATTTCTAATTCACTTTATACAAGAGTAACTAGAATGTTTTTATCTGTGTAGTTTTAATATTTTTTGTTTGTTTTCTACTTATGAGATTCTCTTAGTGTGGATAATAAACCCTAATAATCCCTTTGGAAAACATTTGATTTTGTTTCCACCTATCAAATACTTTTACAATATTTCTAAGGGCATTTGGTAGAGATTTCTATCCTATTTTAGATGAACCCTAAAGAAAAATAAAGCAATCTTATCAAATTTCCAAAGGTCTCATTTAAACCTTCAATAAATTTTAAGGCAATATCCATGAGATAATATCCATCATGAAATACATATTTCTTTCAAATCTGTACATGTGGAACATTTCTGAACAGTAAGAATAAGATAAAGGCAGTTTTAAGCATTGGTTATAGTCTTTCCATGTTCATTATATTTTACTTAATATTTGTAATGTTCGAACATCATTATTCATAAAATTTATAAGATTTCATTCCAAACTTAATATCATGATGCTCCCTGAAGTATTGAGATTTGGATAAGAACTTTGCCATGCATAATATATATTTAAGATTTTTTTTTAATGTATATTTATTGACATTTGGTAATGCTTGACTTTTGGTAAAATACATTGCCTAATTCATTGTACTAATATTTTAAGACATTTTCCCCAACTAGGAGTTTCTCATGCTTAGTGAAGATTAATCCTTCCAAAAGACCTTCCAAATTCATTATATTTTAATCCCCCCCTAATATTGTAAGGTTTCTAGTTTGCTATAACATTATAAGTATTTCTAAATTACCCATTTAAATCCATCACTTCCCTTTTCTTCTGAAGATATGAGTACATACATACACATAAACTTCTTCCTCATTATTCCTCTTACTCCTAAGTTATATTTTTATATTACTATTACTGTATGTACATACTGCATTCAGTACAGAACGAAACCAAATATACCTATTTGTTATGTAGACTCAGAAAAAGGACATATGATATATATATATATATATATACATATGTATATTATATACCAGAGGCCCGGTGCATGAGATTCGAACACTCAGAAGTGGGGCAGGAGGGTCCCTCAGCCCAGCCTGTGCCATCTTGCATGCAGTCCAGGAGTCCTGGGGGATGTCCAAGTGATGGCTTGTAGTTGGTAGTTGGGCCTCTTTAGAGCTGCCATAGAAGCAGGAGAGGCTCCCGCCACCATCATTGCGCTCGCCAGCTGTGAGCCTGGCTTCTGGGCTTCTGGCTGAGCAGTGCTCACCTTTGGGAGCACACTGACCACCAGGGGGCAACTTCCTGCGTTGAGGGTCTTCCCCCTGGTGGTCATTGTGAGTCATAGCAACCGGTTGTTCCACCATTCGTCGATTTACCTATTACCCTTTTATTATATATGATAAAATGTAATGAACATGCAGAAATTCAAAAATAAGGATTCTAATCATACTTCTTTAGGTTTTGTAAAATTAACATTTGTAAGGAAAGCCCACTGGTACTGGATGGTGCCCAGCAGTTACTCAAAAGACCAGAGGAAATTTGGAAATAAAAGTGTGTAACTTATAAGCATAAAGGAAGTACACAGCATGCCTGCAGGGGCTAACACAGTCAGGACAAAACAAAATGCAGGAAGAGAGTGGCAGTACACAAAAGTGTAGGCCTGAATTAGGATCACTATGTGGAGTGCCGTGGGGCTCTCGAACTAGGTCCAGATTGTTCAACTCAAAGCAAAATCAGCAAGGTTTGGCTAGTTCTTCAGAAATCTTACATAAGGGCATATAAATTGAAGGCCCTGAGGTGCACAAAAGACTATTGTTCACAAGAAATGCTGGAGAAGTCATATCAGAAACTCATTTGTGACACTGTAAGCTGGTGTCTGCGTGCAGTAGGGATTCATAAGAGTTCAGTTCTTAACTATACAAAATAAATGATAATGCTGAAACACCACAGACCTATACATAAGCCCACAACAATACTCCCAACTAGGTATTTTTTGTAACCATCATAATGTCCCAGCAGGCACAATGAATAAAAAGATAAATTATGGGTAAACTCTTTATACATTATTTAAGGTTTAAGGCCTGTGAGTAAATGATGACACTCCACTGCATTACAAATTGCATATTTTAACATATTTCAACTATTTTACCTTTAATAATGAACACATAGTCCACACATAGTCTAAATAAAGTATTGCTCGCTGTATTGCCTTAAGTTGAAACATACATTATAAGCATTCAGAAAATAACGAAATGAATTGAGATATAAATCACATTAATACTTTTGTTTCAAAAAGCCACAAATAACTGTTGTAATACAAAAGGATTCTGTGGAGACAATTACATTTTTCCTAATATTCATTCCCTTGGTATTTTGATTTATACTAAAAAATCATAAAACTTTCCTTACTAGATTCTCTAAAATAGTATTCTGATTTAAAGTCATATTTGAAGTGTTACTGAATTACTACTTTCTATTATGAATTCTCTGATATTATACATTTAATTTTATTAAAGTCACTTTCAAGCACAAATTCTATTTCTTGAAATACATATTTTGAGAAAATATTTTTTATCATTTATTACAAAGGTAGAAATTCTCGCCCTAAACGGACTGGCTCAGTGGATAGTGTGTCAGCCTGCAGACTCAGGGGTCCCAGGTTTGGTTCCGGTCAAGGGCATGTGCCTTGGTTGCTGGGACATCCCCAGTAGAGGATGTGCAGGAGGCAGTTGGTTGATGTTTCTCTCTCTCATCAATGTTTCTGATTCTCTATCCCTCTCCCTTCCTCTCTGTAAAAAATCAATAAAATATATATAATATATATATATATATATATATATATATATATATATATATATATTTAAAGTAGAATTTCTCATAAGTATGCATTCTCTGATATGCAGAAAGATTGTAGGTCCAGGTACAGAGTTTGCACCTTCTTCAACATTTTTAAGTTTTCTCCAGTAAAAATACTTATGTGGCAGTTAAGATGTACCAGTAAATGCTGAAAACAATCTTTGCTGAACTTTTTATATTTGCATGGTTTCTCTCCACTATAAATTCTCTAAAGCAGCGGTCACCAACCAATGGTCCACAAATCACTGGTGGGCCATGAGGTCTGAAAGGTTGGCGACCACAGCCCTAAAGTAGATTGAGGCTTGAGCAATGGTCAAAGGTTTTGCCACATTGTTTATATTTGTGTTCTTTCAGTAAAGCATAAATTATGTGATATTGATTAAGGTTTCAACACCAGGTAAAGGTTTTATAAAATTCTCTGCATTGTAAGGCTTCTCTCTGGTATAATATTTAGTGAGGTTTGGGCAATGGTTGGAAGTTTTTCCAAATCTTTATATTTATATTGGAGGCCTGATGCACAGAATTTGCGCACTGGAGTGGGGGAGAGGGTCCCAAAGCCTGACTGATGCCCTCTCGCAGGCTGGGACCTCTCAGGGAATATCTGCCTGCTGGCTTACGCCTACTCTCCAACAGCTGGAAATCCCCCTCACAGTCCGGGACTCCTCACTGTTTACTGCCTGCCTGCTCGCTGCTCTTTACTGCTTGGCTCACTGCTCCTTAGCGCTGCCTCGGAGGCTGGAGAGTCTCCCACCACCACCACTGTGCTCACTCGATAGCCATGAGCCCTCCTGTGGGAACGTACTGACCACCAGGGGGCAACTCCTGTGTTGTGCGTCTACCCCCTGGTGGTCCGTGAGCATCATAGCAGCCAGTTATTCTGGTTGTTCTGCCATAAAGGTCGTTTAGGCTTTTATTATATAGAGTGCTTCTATTCACCATGAACTTCCCAATATTGAGTACAGCTATAGCTTCACCTTTGTAAAGCTTCTCTCGGGTATGCATTCTCACATATTTGATAAGATGTGAGTGGTGAAGAAAGGCTTTGTCACATCCTGTGTTTGCAAGACTTCTCTCTAGTTGAGTGCTCTGATGCTATAGAGGTTTGAACATGATGTGAAAACACTGTGACATCTCCATATTTATAAGGGTTTCTGTCCTGTGTGAATTCTCTGATGTTTGAAAAAGGCTGAATACCAGCTAAAGGCTTTGTCACATTCTGTACATGTATAAGGTTTCTCTCCGGAATGAATATTCTGATGTTGAGTAAGATGTGAGCCCCGGGTAAAGGCTTTGCCACATTCTCTGCATTTATAGGGCTTCTCTCCAGAGTGAATTTTCTGATGTTTAGCAAGTTGTGAGCCCTCGATAAAGGCTTTTCCACATTCTCTACATGTATAAGGCTTCTCTCCAGAATGAATTCTCTGATGTTGAATGAGATTTGAGCTCCGGATAAAGGTTTTGCCACATTCTCTACATTCATAAGGCTTCTCTCCAGTATGAATTCTCTGATGTTTGGAAAAGGCTGAATACCAGCTAAAGGCTTTGCCACATTCTCCACATGTATATGGCTTTTCTCCAGAATGAATATTCTGATGTTGAGTAAGATGTGAGCCCCGGGTAAAGGCCTTGCCACATTCTCCACATTTATAGGGCTTCTCTCCAGAGTGAATTTTCTGATGTTTAGCAAGTTGTGAGCCCTGGGTAAAGGCTTTGCCGCATTCTCTACATGTATAGGGCTTCTCTCCAGAATGGATCCTCTGATGCTGAGTAAGATTTGAGCTCCGGATAAAGGTTTTGCCACATTCTCTACACTTATAAGGCTTTAGTCCAGTATGAATTCTCTGATGATGGCTAAGGTTTGAACAGTGGCTAAAAGCTTTGCCACATTCCATACATTTATAAGGCTTCTCTCCAGAATGAATTATCTGATGTCGAGTAAGATGTGAGCTCTGGATAAACGTTTTGCCACATTCTCTGCATTTATAAGGCTTCTCTCCAGAATGAATGATCTGATGCCGAGTAAGATGTGAGCTCTGGATAAAAGCTTTGCCACATTCTCTACATTTATAAGGCTTCTCTCCTGTATGAATTCTCTGATGTAAAATAACATTTGCCTGCCACCTAAAGGCTTTATCACATTCTTTGCATTTGTAAGGCTTCTCTGCAGTATGGATTTCCTTATGTATATTTAACTTAGAGGACTGACTAAACACTTTCACGTAGTGATTACATGGAAAAGACTCCTCCTCAATATGAGTATTTTTATGTTCAGTAATATTTGATGATTGGTTGACAGACTTGGCACACTCACTAAATCTTTCTGTCTTCTCTACAGTATGAATACTCTGAGGTATAAAAACATTTGAGTGTTTTTCAAAGACTTTAGGACATTTATACTTGTTCTGTGAAAGCCGAGCTCTTTGATGGTTATTAGAATTTGACCCTTGGTTAAACTTTTCCCAAGATTCATTGCACTGGTGACTTCTCTCTTCATTATATGTACTCTGATAATAATTTAAGAGATAAAAACTTTTAGTGAGGGCTCTAATATCTCTGCATATGTACAATTGTTCCCAATTGCCTATTCTGATACCGTGATGATCGTATATATATCCAGTCACATTTATGAAAATTATAAACTTTGGGAAAAGAAATATTTTTCCATGAAACAGTAATACAAAATTGGTTAAGGGGTTTACAAATTCATTTATAAGTTGTATCTTCATTTTTTAAATATCTCACTTTTAGAAATATTTGACAGTTTAATCAAATGCCACATTAAATCATTCAAAAATTATTTGCACAATGGACTAGGTGACTTATCCGATATTACAAATTTTTCTTCAGAGAATATGTATTCATTTATTTATTTTAATTCCCACATGAGAAAAATGTTTATTGATTTTTAGAGGAAAAAAAAGGTGGGGGGGGAGAGAGATAAAAGATAAATTGATGTGAGAGGGAAAGATAGGTCAATTGCCTCCTTCCTACACCCGGACCAGAGGTTGAACTCTAAATCTACATGTGCCTCAACCAGCATCGAAACCACATTTCAGGGTGAAACTTCAACCAACTGAGCCACAGCAGCCAGAGCAGAGAATTATACTTTAAAAAATTTTTTTCTTTATTTTTTATTTTTTGGTTCAGAAACACATTATTTTGCCAATGTATCTGATGTCAAGTAGAGGGTAATTGCCCCACTTTGGCCATATTCATCATGACTAACAAGGTTTTTTTTTTGTTTTTTTTTTTTTTTAATAATCCCCTGCACATTACAAAATTTTCATTCAGTGTTAATTCTCAATGCCACATCTGTTATATCTTACCTGTAACATTTTCTGGAATGATACTTCTACACTTGACTTTGGCAACAAACCCTGGATGACTTGAGAAGATATAGCTGAAATATAACAAATTAATTATAAAATATACTTAGGTAAATGTACAGAATTAATACTTGTAAGAAGACTCCGGTGAGATAGAAGAATAGGAAACACAAAACTTTCTTTCTCCATGGAGATGTTAACTTACCAACAATTATTGACCCAATTACCTTCTAAAGTGCTTCAGAAGCCAGTTCAAAGACCACAATATCAACCAAAAAGCACAAAATAAAAAAAGTCATATCAAAGAGGGAAACAAGTTACCTACATTTACCCATAATACCTGCTCACCCTTTCTGACACAGGAATGGGAAAATATCATGGGCTTTAAATAAAAGCAAAGTATGTTTTAAACTTGGAAGTTACACAAAACTCACACATGCAGGCTTCTGATCAAGACAGACATGTAGGTAATTGTGACACTGGCAACCTCCCACAACCACATAACACACACACACACACAAACACACACACACACAGAAACAAAACTATAGGAAAAGCACCTTTCAGAACTGACTGAAACCTAACTGAATAAAGTTGTAAAACTAAGGACATAAAGAAGGCTTATCCAGACTGGTAGGAGATGCAATGTCACAGAATGGACTGGTCCCATGTGGTGGATAAAAATCACCAATGACACATCGACTGCAGAGGTCACATCTGAGGAGAAAAGGGTCTCCGCCCCACAGAAGGCCCGCCAGCCCAGGGTTCCAATGCCATGAAGAGATATTCCCATTACTCTGGCTGTAAAAACTAGTAAGGATTGTAGTTGAGTGAGATAGAGAACTGATGGATCCCTAGGCGATCCTCTTAAAGAGCTCATGCTCTGACTTATTCAGATTCATGCCCTGTGAGCTCCAGTGCTGTGGCAGAAGCTCAAATGGCACCAGAGACATAAAGTTTGGACCTGAAGGATGAGAGCTGGAGAAGGAGTTTTCTCCCAGGCATAAGCCTTGGTAGAAGCCATTGTTCCTTTTCTGAGCCTTTCACCCACATACTTAGCAAATAGGAGCCACAGCTGAGTCTGCTGTGGTTCACACTTTTCACCACACCCTGAATATCTCCTGACACCACAGCCCATAAACCTGTGGGACCACCAAAGTTGTTTCCAGTGGCTTTTCCATACAAACAACCTAAATGGGCTAATGCTTCAGTCTTTACAACAATTTCTCAAATAAACAGGATCTAGCCCCAGTTTATACCCCCATAACTCTGTCTAAGTGGCCCCAGCACAGAAACTATGTAATGTCTAATTATTGGGGTGCACACCTAAAACTAATATATTATATTGGAAACTACAATTGAAAATTTTTTTTAAATGAGTTAAACACACACACACACACACACACACACACACCCCAATTACACTTTCCAGAATAGGTGTGACAGGCCATTAAAAACCTAACACAGCTGATAGTTATTTTTGTTCTCCTGTACAAAGCAAGTTTATAAAGAATGGGAGAGCAACAAAAATCACAAGGCTTATGAAGAAACAGAAAAACAATCCAACCAGAAGAATAAAATAAATCTCCATAACATAACCCTAAGTTAATGAATATATGTTAATTACCTGACAAAGATGGGGGGGGGGCTTAAAAGGGCTCATTTGGGGGGGAAAAAAAACATAAGAAACTAATTATTGCAATTAAAATTAGGCGTGACAATAATAAAAATGCAAACAGACATAAAGTATAAGAAAGAACCAAATAGATATTGGGAAATGAAGACTATAGTTAGTACCTGAATTGAAATATTCAATAGAAACATCAGCAAAAGACTTGATTAAGCAAAGGAAAGAATAAGACAACTTGAACACTGACCCACAGTGTTCCTGAGATCTGAGACCAAATTCCAGTATCTCAACCACTTTCCTCCCAAATTACTGGAATGAATCAGAAAACAGAACTTTAAAATTAGTTTAACTTAAAATTCCTCAGCAACGTGCACGGACTTCCCCAGGTTCACCAAGAAATGCAAGAGTAGCCAGGTCATGCCACCCTTACACTGTTTCAGGAGGACTTTGGCTCTCACTGCAAATGTGATGGAAGCAGAAAGACAATCCTTAAATGATGTTGGAGAGTAAGTGTTGGAGAGGATCTGTCCCTCGAAGACAAAAACAGAAATAAACGTGACCCTCTCAAAAATCAGGTCCATTGAAGCAGATGTTTCCAAACCATTATATAATATCTGATCTTCGGCCTCTCACCTGGATCATATGCTTCCTTGATTCCCACCTACCTGGATGAATGGGTATTGTCTTTTTTCTCTTCAACTGCCAGGGCTCCTTCATGTGCTCCAAAAAGGTGAGTAGGTCTGGCTTAGACACACCTGTTTATTAGAAAAAGGAACACGGTCCATAGCCAGTTTGACTCCTTGGGTAGATTGTCAGCCTGGGGACTGAAGCGTCCCTGGTTTGATTCCGGTCAAGGGCACATGCCTGGGATGCAGGCTCGATCCGCAATAAAGGATGTGCAGGAGGCAGCCAATCAATGATTCTCTCTCATTGATGTTGCTACCTTTCTCTCCCTCTCCCTTCCTCTCTGAAATCAAATAAAAATATATTAAAAACAATAACAACCAAAAACTTATTTAAAAAAGACCAAGGAATATGGGTTCAATGGAGAATCTCTAATTTCCAATCCAGCCCTCTACTCAAGTAAGAAGATAGGACATTGTAGAATATCAAAATATTCTTAAAAATTATTTCCCAAAATATTATTTTCTGACAGAACTTTAACAGTACTGGAGACAACATTTAAAGTTTTCAAATCTTGAGTTCCACTTCCAAGTACATCAGAAGCCTTTCTGTCCTGCACCAGCAAAACCCAATTGCTTTCCTTAATAACATGTATCTGAAACTCTATCATAAAAAGCAGAAGCTATAAGAAGACACTGTACTAATGAAGAAAAGAAAACCCTGCGAGTGGAGAAGAAATTCTGGAAGGAAGTGGTCCTCACCCAGGAATACCAGGTTCCTGTAGTTCTGCAGCATCACGTCCATGTACAGTTTCCGCTGAGCTGGGTCCAGGCACGCCCACTCCTCCTGAGAGAATTCTATGGCCACATCACTGAAGGTCAGCTGTCCCTGAAATTAAAAGGAAATTAAAAGAAAAGCATTACTCAATTGACCATGGGCAGAGGTCATAAAGTCACCCAAAATGAAAAGTTAATAGAACCAGTTTAGACTTAGGACAGTATCCTGAGTTACCCAACAGCATCACTTTGACATTAATATACTCTACTTTTCTGAAAGATAAATTTTAAAAATACAGTCATCAACACAAGCATATCCATTTTTTAGTGCTATAGTTGAATCAGAGAAGACCAACTGTACATATTTCTTAGCTGGGAAAGTCATTCTGAGTGAGCACAGTGTAGCACTTATAAAAAATTTTAACGAGTTCTGGGTGGGGCCTGCATTTATATATGTTTAACCAGCTCACTTATAACTATAGATGCCAATGATCTGGTACATGTGCTGTACCTTTGGATACCACAGGAGAAGAAAATACAAGGAAAAAATTCACATACAAGATTTTATGGACTTTACAGGTCTCGTAGATTAGTAAGCTATCAGCCACAGTTGTTTTAACAGTTATTTATATATTAATTAATAAATCTCAAAAGTATTCAAAAAACAATAACATTGTTCATTTAAAAAAAAAAAAAAAAAGCTTTTATTGATTTTTAGAAAGAGAGAAAGGGGTAAGGACAAAGAAACAGAAATGTCAATGGGATAGAAACATCAATGAGCGGACTCCTGCACACCCCCTACCAAGGATTGAGCACTGAAGCAGGGCATGTGCCCTAATGGGGAATTGAACCAATGATTTCTCAGTGCATAGGTCAATGCTCAACCAAGTGAGCCACGGCTATTCATCCTTTTCTATGAAAATGTTTTGTAAAATATCCAAAATGGTAAAGCGTGGGTGTTATTCCAAACGTTTCCTCGAATTTGTCAATAAGATCACAGACCAGTACACAGACACAATCTTCATGAATATACACAACTGTTGTAACTGTAAAGAATAGAAACAAGAAGGTAAGAAGAAGAGGTCAAATAATGTTAGCATTTTCTTCAAAGAGGCAGACATAAAAATGGAAACCATGTACATATTAAATGCAACACAAAATAAAATGTTCATGTCAATATAATTACCCTGAAATAAAATCAACATTAATGTCAGTGTCACAAATCTCTTTGTGAATGATTGTCTTTGTATTTTATAAACACAAAAGGGAGGTAAACACACCATGATTAAAAATATTAGTGCTGCCGAAACTGGTTTGGTTCAGTGGATAGAGCGTCGGCCTGCGGACTGAAAGGTCCCGGGTTCGATTCCGATCAAGGGCATGTACCTTGGTTGTGGGCACATCCCCAGAAGGGGGTGTGCAAGAGGCAGCTGATCGATGATTTTCTCTCATAGATGTTTCTAATTTTCTATGTCTCTCCCTTCCTCTATGTTAAAAAAAAAAAAATTAATAATATATATTTTTTAAAAATAAAAAAAATATATTAGTGATATTATTTCTTTTTTTAATATATCTTATTGATTTTTTAGAGAGGAAGGGAGAAGGATAGAGAGGTAGAAACACTGAAGAGAGAAACATCGATCAGCAGCCTCCTGCACACCCCCTGTTGGGCATGTGCCCACAACCAAGGTATATGGCCTTTACCGGAATCGAACCCAGGACTCTTCAGTCCAAAGGCCGTTGCTCTATTCACTAAGCCAAACTGGTTAGGGCAGTGCTATGATTTCTTAGCCTTTTATTTATCGGATAAGAGTGATCTTTGGTTGCTGATCTGTATTTTATAAATTTAACACACTTGAACATCCATTACTATGATAGTTGTAAACATTTTTGAAAATACAAAGCAGTGATAAAAAAAGAGTGTGTCTGTGACAAGTCGGTGAAAATACAATAAAAATTTACAGGTCCGGGGCAAAGCAAGTATCTCCAGTGAACAACGACGACGAACAACATAGAAGTAAGTTATCTTCCTCCCACACAATGGCCGTCAATTTATGGTGAGAGTTCTTTATGTCCCATAGGGGACCGGGATGGACACAATGGACAGACAGCTGTGGACAACAACACAGAGAGAGCTGACTAACGGTCTGGTTCCTTGCAGATGTTGAAACTGCTGACGCACATGAGCAGTTGATGAAGGCTTGACTGCTACATGAACTTCCTAGGGTGGCTCTAGTGAACTACACTGCCATCTTTCCCCTATAGCGCAGGCACTGACAACCAGGCAACCCAGTTGGTAAAGGAAATAAATGCACACTGAAATGGAAGTCTCCACCTGCAGGCCTTTTTCAAACCACCCTCCTATTTGCTTATTAGAGCCACCAAGCAGAGCCAGCCCCTGAGTCAGCTCAGAGGACCTTCCTTTCTTCTCTGTTATCTCCCTTATGCTCGAGCATAAGCCTAAGAAAATTTCCCCAAGATATATCTCTAGAGGTTCCTCTTGATTTCTATCTTGGGGAATCCAAAAAACCCCAAGTGACAGTAACATTTTAAAGAGGGAACTTATAGAATCACAAGGGAAAAAAAGTAAGCAGTTGAAAACAACTCCGTGTTGCAGGATCATCGGAAATTGAGAAGCAACGGTCTGCACCATGTAAATACATGAACTTTAGAAGGAAAAGCAGACACAGAACTGAGCCAAGACAGAGCATGTACCTGAGAAGCGGCCATACTGTCCTCTTCCTCCTCCAGTTCTGGGTTGTTTTCTCAGGCGACTTTATGTGGACCAATCACTCCTGCATCTTGAGGCTACGCCGTGCTTCCACCACACTCACAGGGAGAGGGACTTGGAATGATGAAAAATGTCACACTCCCCTGCCCTTTGACACAGGAGAGATTAAGAAACAATGAGATGCTACATGAAGACCAAACTGTAATTTTTTTCCTCTCCTGTCTTCCCTTGCTCTCCCCTCCGACAGACGTGCCCAAATTCCGACCCAGCAATGAGAAAGTGGGCTGCACTTCTGTTCTTCCCAAACCCAAGAGAGGACCTTGGACCAAAGCCCACTGTCAACTCTCACAAATGCACTGGGGCAGGGAGCCCTTCTGCTGAACACCGGCCCCACTTTTGAGTCACCTGGAGCACCACACTAAAATGACGGTGATCTACCCAGACCAGTTGTTCAACTCTGAGGGGGAAGGCACAGGCACTGTTATTTCTTACAACTCGTCAAATGGTCTAATGGAAGGGCACCATCTAGCTAAGCATTTCATCTACAGCTTTAACGTGCATACAGAACTGCTGGGGATCAAGGTCCCACTCTAAAAAGTTATGATTCTGTAGGTGGGCAGTGAGGGCCATGAAATAGCATCTTTGCTTAGTGCCCTGGTGCAGGTGACCTGCTTTAGGTAGCAGTGGGCTAGAGATAGATACTTAGACCCGACACACCTGAGCCCAGTGGGTAGTGTGAGGGTTTGAGGTAGGGACTTCTAGAGGGCAGGCTCCCACGGTGGATCCCTAGAAATGGGGTTGTCCTGAAATGGGTTTGGCCAGGCCTGTAGCTACTGTGCAGATGCAACAGGGGAGAAGAGAAAACTTGGTGGCAACAGGGTTCTTGTGAGAATCCTGTCCTCGGAAACCTTCCAAATGCCACTCGGTCCCCAGTTCTTTGCTCATGCCCCTCCCATGGGACACATCGTACCCTGTTTCCCCGAAAATAAGACAGTGTCTTATATTAATTTTTGCTCCCAAAGATGCGCTAGGTCTTATTTTCAGGGGATGTCTTATTTTTCCACGAAGAAGAATACGGTACACATTTATTGTTAAATGAAAATAAAGGAAATTTTATTACCTGTATACGGTACGGTAGTTGTCAACACAAACCAAACAAACTGTGAATCCTACAGTATCAAAAATTTACTCATTTATTCAATGACAATCATCACATCATCTTCTGGAACATCATCATAACAATCCAATTCCTGAATTTCCTAGTGAATTTCTTGTGACTCCATTTCTTTCAGAATCAGTGGACCAAATCTCTCATGTTTAGCCTAGGGGGAGGGGGGCTTATTTTCAGGGGGATGCCTTATATTTCACTCAGAAGGAAACCTGTAAGTAGGTCTTATTTTCGTAGGATGTCTTATTTTTGGGGAAACACGGTATAACAGGATAATCTCCCTCCTCCCCTGTCCATAGATGAGTGGAACCTCAATCCCTAAGGGACAAGTGGCAGAAAAGTAGTTCAATCACTATATTTTTACAAATGAAGTGAAGGAGCATACTCTAGAAGCCTGTCAAGACATAAGATTGTTTGTATCACATTCATGTTCACTTTCTCTTAACTGTACTCCCGAACACATCTTAATCATTGCTCTTGCTAATGTAAGAACACTTCACATGAGACCTACCATTTCAATTTTTTAATATATATTTTTATTGATTTCAGAGAGGAAGGGACGTAGAAAGAGATAGAAACGTCGTGGTAAGAGAGCTCCCTCCTGTAGGCTGACACTGGGGATCAAGCTGGCAACCTGGGCATGTGCTCTGACTGGAAACTGACCCATGATCTCCTGGTTCATATGGGTCGACACTCAACTACTAAGCAACACTGAGTCTCTATTTTTTCTCCATTTACTACTTTCTCAAGTCTCTCTTTCATACTTGCAGTCGATTTGCAAGGACCTTCCACATCCTCACTTTTGCTATCTCCTTATGGGTCCCGTCACTGACCTTTCTGCCCTTTCACTATTTCTTCTTATCTCTTTCTCCTGATTCCCACTCACACCCGCACTGCACCCCTTTCATGGCCACCCCGTCGCAGTCACGGCTTCCACGAAGCCAATCCCTGCATGTGGGGAGGCGACAGCTTGGTGGGACACCCCGTGTTCTTCTGTTCTATATCCCACTTCACTGAAAAGTGTACTCTCCCTCGGCATCCTGCATCTTACTTATTAAATGGGGAGTAGGGGGGGCATCTGGAAGGGGGGTGGGGGTGTCCGTATACTCCCAGGCCAGGGAGGAATCCGGGCTCCACAGGCCACTGCGAGGCTGCGGAAGGAGCAGAGGGTTTGACTCCATCTCCCAAGACTTTAATGGCCCAGGGTGGGGTGGCCAGTGAAAGGTTTTAGGAGGGAAACTACGCGTGGGCGGTGAGCAGTGGCCCCAAGAAGAGATCACAGGCAGAGGACTCCGTTAGAGCGACAGGTAACGCGGGGTCTCAAACCCGCAGCGAAGCCCTCCGGGCAGGTCTCACTGGGACGCGAGGCTTACCGCTGATGGGAGGCGGGTTTGGGGTTTCAAGGTCTCCTCGGCCCTCAGGCTTCACTCGTGCAGGACTGTGGGCTGAGATACGGAGGTTTAAGGAGAAAGACCCAAGATCTCTCAGATGCCTGGGTTCCCTCCGCTCTGCACTAGCCGCTTCCGGGTCCGGGAGTACCTGCGCGTGCGCGGGCGGCAAAGGGGGCGGGGCGGCGGGCGCTGGGCGGGGCTCGGGGCGGCCCGGGCTCCAGGACAATGGGAGGATGGGGCGGGGCCGAAGCGCGGGGCGTGAACCAGGGTGTTTGATTCAGAGGCTGCACGTGGGTTTGGTCTGAGCCCCAGGAACTGGGGCGGCGCGTGAAATGCACTGAGGCTTAAAGGAGGATGTAGCCTGTTCTGTGGAAAAAGTGGTGGAACCGCGGCTGGAGCAGCGTTTCCTGCTGGAGGGTGCAGCCTAGCTCCCAGAATGATGCCCAGGGTCAGCGTTGCCCCGGGGTGATAGCTGGGCCCTGACTCCTGTCCTCTGGCCTCAGAGTTTGTATTTTCTCAATTCTGAACCTGTGCAATGTCCTTAGTGCCCTGTAAAGCAAAACTACTCCCTGCCAATGTAAGTTGATATTTCAAACTGTTTAATGTAAAATTTAGAGTTCAGTGGGCCACTTACGTTGAAAGCCACAATGTCTTTGTTTTAACAGGCTAGAAATGGATTTGCTCAAAACTTCCATTGGGAAGTGTTGGACATGTCTGTGGGTATTGGCAGAGCTGCCAGCTGAACTCCAGCTCGGGGGTCTGAGAACCTGGCAGAGTTGTGGTGGAGCGATGATTGGATGGAGGGACGATCCAAAAAAGTAATTTAATGAAGCAAGGGGTGCAGTTGTCTGTGCAGGAGATGCAAACTTTTTTTTTTCTTTTTTAAGAAATGCAAACTTGAAGGTAAAATTCAGAATTGTATCTGTGTGAAATTCAAAATTCTATCTTTGGGAAACAGGCCATGGTAGACCAACGTCTATCAGAATACCACTTCCATTCCCATTCCCCACTCACCCAGTGCTCAGATGTAGAGACTTTTATAAGGACAAGACCTGGAGGGATGAAGCGTGTGATCATTTAGGTCACCATCTGTGAGAAGAAGCAAGTCATATTTTCTGTCAAAAAACAGTTCAGACAGCTGCCACTTTGGACTTGTAACTTGGCAGCTGCCCTGTTGGCCGCATGGCTTGCAGCTCCCCTGAGGGCCTCCATCTTGAAACAGCAAAGGCCAGCTCCTCCCTTTAAGTTAGCCAATCATGAAAGACTGTGTGCTTGAGCTCCAATCAAGAGTAAGGGACAGGTCACTTGTGTCAAGGACAGGTCACTTGTGTCGAGCAGACCACCTGCTTGGTGTGCTTTGGCTTCCAGATCATGTGTGCTCATTATTGTATGTAGAAGTAAAGATCTTTGCTTTGCTGCCTGGCTCCCAAGTATGTTTTGTGTTCTACCAGACCCCAAATTAGGGGGCTTGCCTTATTTCTAACACCATCCATGGTTTTTGTGGTTTTTTTTTTTTTTTAACACAGCATCAACTTTTACAAAATAGATATAAATTATATTGTTCTTTACATATTTGGCACTTGAAGGAATGACAAGCTCAAGTACCTTTGTTGAGGATGTGAGGGCCATCTGGCTGCGACATCTGTCACCCCATTGATCGCCAGGGTTGATTCGGCTGATCTGGCTGGCTAGGCGGGTGTCCCCCTCCTCCCTCACCAATCCATGTGCGTCCCTCCCAAAGCTGCGCGCTCGGTCAAAGAGGACGACTTTCCCCCAAGAGGAGAGGACCGGTCTTAGGTCAAGGGTATACGAGTAGCTGCCCTCCCCTGCTAGAACCTCCAAACAAGTTCTCAAATACCTTTGTTGAGATAGACTTTTGGGGTAGCATAATTCATTTGTCATTGACTTTTCTATATATAATACTGAGAAGGAAAATTGGGGGGGGCAACTTTAGGGGCTTACATCTAGTTAAACAGTAATTTTACAAACCCCATTCCAATTGACTTTGGTGGAGCTACCAGCCCATCCCAAGGGCCCCACCACAAGAAGATATATATCAAAACCTCCCTATATTGTCAGTTCAGGCTTTGGATCAAAGTCCCCTGAACTAGCAGCACAATCTATTTTATTGAGGGCCTTCAGGGAAAAGTTGAATTGCTGTGAGGACAAATGGGTAGGCCAGATCTCGAAAGCTTTACAACCTCTGAAAACAGCACACATTTTGTCAGCCATGCTCATCTCCCTCCCAAGGTGCCAAGGACAGAGTATGTGGCAAGGGATCACTAAAGGTTTTACAGACTGACTTCAGAAACCACTGCCCAGGCACAAAAGCAGGAACCTGGTCCACCAGGCTCCTCCCTCTTACATCAGCAGCCTTCTTTTGCTGTGTTTAAAACACTTCCCCTAGTAGCCTTCACCATGAGAAGCAGACACAGCCTTGCCTACAGCCCCACTTCAGACTCCAACACGCATCTGAGAGCAAAGACACGGCCGGTCTCAGGGACTACAAGAGGCACCGTGTGCCCTCGTCATGCACAACCCTCCCCACTTGGCCCACTCACCTCCCTCCTGGCTACTGGTGCTGCTCCTTGTCCTCTCAGGTGAGTGGGATCTGGAACAGAACAGAATTTACCGCTGGCTGGTCCCGGAGAAGGGCATCAGCTGCTTTGGCAGGCCTGGTGGGGCAAGCATCTACCAAGACAGAGTAGGTTGAGACCTTTCCTGACCCAGCAGAGCACAGACCCAATGTCCAAAGAAGCAGAATTCTTGGGCAGCACAGGGAAGGTAAATTCCCAGGCTGGGTTCTGGGCTCATGCCAGGTGGGTTCTGGTTCAGATACTTGTGTGCCCATGTCAGCTCTTCCACCAAGCAGGCCCATTAATGGGACATTTCTCTAGAAGTGTGGGAGTATTAAACATAAAAAGGGTGAGACGCAGCCCAGGGCCATTGGTGTTATTGGCAGGGCCTTCTCCCTTCCTTGTAAAATGTAAACATTCAAGAAATATTAAGAATTTTAAAGCTCCTAGCTGGTTTGCTTCAGTGGATAGAAGGTTGGCCTGTGGACCAAAGGGTCCCAGGTTTGATTCCAGTCAAGGGCATGTACCTTGGTTATAGGCTCATCCCCACCTTGGACCCTGACTGGGGTGTGTGCAGGAGGCAACCAATGTGTTTCTCTCAAATAGATATTTCTCTCTGTCTTTCCCTCTCTCTTCCAGTCTCACTAAAAAAAAAAAAAAATATATATATATATATATATATATATATATATATATATCAATGGAAACATATCCTTGGGTAAGGATTAACAACAACAAAAATATTCATATATATATATATATATACATATATATATATATTTGATATATTATTGATTTCATGATGAGAAAGTCATTGATGACTACCTCCTGCACACCCCACACTAGGGATCAAGCCCACAACTGGGCATGTGCCCTTGACTGGGATCAAACCCAGGACCTTCCAGTCCACAGGCTCTGTCCACTGAGCCAAACCGACTAGGGCAAAATATTCCATTTTTAAAAAAAATAATAATAATTTTAAGGCAGCAACAACAGAGCATAAACTCAAACATAAGGGCTATGTGTTTAAACAGCCATGGGCCCGCACTGGCCCAGCCCGAGACAAACCTAGGCTCAAATCTCATTCCCTATTGCTCTAATTAACTTCTCTCTGAGCCTCAGGTTTCCCTCTCTGTGAAATGGGGCTAATCATAAGACCCACCTCATGACTTTGTTAGGAGGTTTCAATGAGGTTATACCTATAAGTACAATTGACTCTTGAACAATGCAGGGGTTTAGGGTCCTGACTCCCGGGGCAATTAAAATTCATGTATAACTTTTGATTCTCCAAAAACTCAACTAATAATAGTCTACTGTTGACCAGAAGCCTTCCTAATAAACAGTCCATGAATGCATATTTTGTGTTATATGTACTACTATAGGCCCAGTGCACAAAATTTGTGTACAGGGGTCCCCTCAGCTCAGCCTGCACCCTCTCCAATCTAGGACCCGTTGGGGGATGTCTGCTGGTTAAAGCCCTATCCCAGGGATCGGGCCTAAATGACAGACATCCCTCTCATAATCCTGGATTGTTGGCTCCTAATCGCTCACCTGCCTACCAGCCTGATTACCCCTAATTGCCCGCCCTCCACCAGCCTGGTCACCTATTACTGCACACCCCCCTGCTGGCCTAGTCACCCCATGAAGCCTGCTGTTCAGTCTGGGTTTGGTTGTCACTAACCCCCCTGCCGGCCTGGTTGTAGGCAGCCATCTGGTGAGGGCATGAGGATTAATTTGCATATTACATCTTTATTATAAAGGATATTCTGTATTCATATAATAAAGTAAGTTAAATTTAAAAACTGTTATTAAGAAAATCATAAAGATCCTGGCTGGTGTGGCTTAGGAGTTGAGCATAGACCTATGAACCAGGAGGTCAATAGAACCAGGTTTGAGTCCCACTTGGGGCACATGCCTGGGTTTTGGGCTCGATCCCCAGTGTGGGCCATGCAGGAGGCAGCCAATCAATGATTTTCTCTCATCAATGTTGTATCTATTTGTCTCTCCCTCTCCCTTCCTCTCTGAAATCAATAAAAATATATTTTAAAATATTTTTTAAAGAAAACCATAAAGAAAAGAAAACACACTTATAGTGCTGTATGTATTTACTGGGGAAAAAAATCTATGTTTAGTGGACCCACGTAGTTCAAACCCATGTTGTTCAAGGGTCAACTGTACCTGGCACAATGTAAAGATTGAATAATTATTTGCTATTATTATCAGACTCAGCTCCTCTAAGGTCATTTAACTGCAGGGTCTTGAGGATCCTAGGTATTGTTCAGCCTCTCAGCCAGAACACTGTGATCCACCAGACAAGATGCTTAGCTCTCAACAGGCTCATTCCATCTCTTGCCCATCTGGTCCCTTACCCCCAGTCCTTATTGAGATCTAGATTCTGTTCATCACACCTTCGGTCCTCCCACCCCTATGGTAACCGCAGGAGGGGCCCTGGTGGGACTCAGGTGTGGGGCCAGACCTAAATGCTCCCTTGTTCAATGGCTATGACTTGAGGCACCACTTCACTTCCCCAAGCTGATTTTCTTGAATAACGATAGCTAATATTGAGAGAAGCTAGCTTGAAATACGGCAGGTAGGACAGAGGTCCAGGGGGAAACAAAGGCAGGTGGAACATAGGCTGGGACAGATAAGGCAGTTTGAGCAGCCCAATCACAAAAACCAACCAAGCTGGAATAACAAAATGTTTCTAGACTCAGAGTAGGAAGCAGGTGAAACTAAGGAGGGTCTGCAATGATAAGGTGAACTGATGCATAGGGACAGGGATAGTTCAGATCTGTAGCTGAGCTAGAACCATTGAGGGAATCAGTCAGGTGACACCGGTAAATGTAGAGCAGGCATAGAGCAAATATACACCTCTAGACTATAATCCTTTAAGGGGGCAGCCCATTATCGGTGCCCTCCTCCTTGTGAGAGGAGTCTAAATAATAAATGCTTGTAATTTACTATATGTTTGTAATAAATGTTTGTAATGTAATATATATAATATAAGATATTATATATAATAATATAATAAAAATAAATGCTTGTAATAAATTTTCCACTTTTGCTTAGTTAAATCTTCTGGTCCGTGGAGCTCATTCTTAGGTGTCGAAGACGCGGCCCTGGGGGAAAAACCTCAGCTCACCCTGCAGATTATCAATATGTTTAGCATTTGCATTGTGCTGAGCCCTCCATCAACTACTGAAAGAAGGGATGTTGAAATCTCACACTTTGTGCATTTGTCTGTTTTTCCCTGCTATTCTATTACGGGGTTTTGCTTTATATACTTTGAAGTTCTGTTAGTAGGTACACAAATGTTTGGGATTTATATGGCTTCTTGATTAATTTGCTCCTTTATCATTATAATACTCTTTATTCCTGGAGATAGTGTTTGCTCTGAAGTCAACTTTATCTGATATTAAAATAACCACTCCTTGCCCTAACCAGTTTGGCTAAGTGGATAGAGCATCCCAGGTTCGACTCCTATCAAGGGCATGTACCTTGGTTGCGGGCACATCCCTAGTAGGGTGTGTACAAAAGGCAGCTGATTGATGTTTCTCTCTCATCAATGTTTCTAACTCTCTATCTTTCTCCCTTCATTTCTGTAAAAAATCAATAAAATATATATTTAAAAAATAATCACTCCAGCTTTCTTTTAATTGGTGCTGGTATGCTGAATATTTTTCTATCATTTTCACCTATTTACACTTTTAATATTTATAGTGTATTTCTTATAAGCAACAGATAGTTGGATCTTATTTTTTTACCTAATACAACAAGTTCTAACCTGTACTTAAGATATTTAGACCATTTACATCGACCAATTTAAATCTATTATCCTCCTTTCTGTTCTTTGTTCCATTTTCCTTCTACCTATTATTGGTAATTAAATATTTTTATAATGCTATTTTATCTCATTTATTGGCTGTTAGCTATAACTCTTTATTTTGTAGTTTAGTGGTTGCTTTAGAGTTTAATTATACACCTTTAATTTATCACCATCTACCTTTTTCCATACCATTTCACATATATAATCATGCATTATTTAGGACACAGACTGACAAATTAGGTGAATTTGTTATTGTGTCCACATTTAGGGTTCATGAAGAACAAAACAACATGAGATTAAATCATCCCCAAGAGAAAACAATGCAATCAAGACCTGCAATAGACATGAGATGTGTGAGGCTGGGCCAGCATAACATGGCATTCTGTTTTAGAGCATACTAAATACTTCTATTTTAAAAGTAAACAAAGTACACTCTAAAATGATTAAAGTATAGTATAGTAAATATGTAAACCAGTAACATAGTCATTTATTATCATCATCGACTATTATGTACTGTACATACTTATATCTCTCTATATAAAAGCTTAAACGACTGGTCTACTGGCCAGTTTACAGATCGACCAGTTGCTATGACATGTATTGACCACCAGTGGGCAGATGCTCAATGCAGGAGTTGCTCCCCAGTGGTCAGTGCACTCCCGCAATGGGAGCACTGCTCAGCTGACCAATGGGCACCAGCTGCTGGGCTCACGACTGGCAAGCCCAGCTGTGGCTGCACACCCAGGAGCAGCAGCTAGTCTACTGAGCAGCAGCCAGCACAGGGGGTCCAGGATGAGTGGGAGCAGGCAGTGTCTGCCCAGGCTCGGGCTTCTCCCTAGCAGCCTGCTGTTTCGTACCCTACTGCATCCTTTGGGGGATGTTGGACTGTCAGTTTCGGCCAATCCCCACAGTCCACGTTGAAGAACTCCACTGGTGCACGATTCTGTGCATTGGGCCCCTAAGTATATATTATAGTGTTTTTTAAAATATATTTTACTGGCTTTTTTACAGGAAGGAAGGGAGAGGGATAGAGAGTCAGAAACATGAATGAGAGAAACATCGATCAGCCACCTCCCCCACACTCCCCACTGAGGACATGCCCACAACCAAGGTACATGCTCTTGACTGAAATTTAATCCAGGACCCTTTGGTCCACAGGCCCATGCTCTATCCGCTGAGCCAAACCCGTCAGGGCTAAAAATATTTTTTAAGTTAAAAAAAATAGAGGTAGTAAAATAACGCCCTTCTCATAGAGGTGCTGGTACCTACCTGGGTATAGAAGAACATCAATCGGTGACCTCCACCCTCTTTCTCTGAGCTTAGTCTGAGGCCAACCTCAAAGTTCAACCTATCCCCCAGATAGACTCACTTCATAACGCATCAACAAGCAGTGAAGGAGTTACAGGAGGCAGGGAGGGTACTTCCAATGAGCACCACAGCACCTAAGCTATGTGTGATTCATTTGAGGGTTAAGAGCAGGGGCTCTAGAAACAGGCTTTAAATGTTTGGATTGAGGCTCTGTCACATTTTTGGGGGTGGTGAATTAGTTTTCTAGGGATTTCATAACAAAGCACCACAGGCTGCTGGCTTAAACAACAGAATCTTTAAAAATATAATTCTACAGGCTAGAAGTCTAAGTTGAAGATGTCTATGGGGTTGATTTACCCTGTGGCCTGTCTTCTTGGTTGTAGATAGCTGTCTTCTCCTCGTGTTTTCATGTGATCTTCCGTGTGTGCACGCTCTCGCACGTGTGTGTCCTAATCTACTGTTCTTATAAGGACCTCAGTCATAAGGACCTCAGTCATATAAGACCCACCCAATTTACCTCATTTTAACTTAATTATCTATTTACAGACTGACAAATGCAGTCATGTTTTGAGGTACATGGGTTAGGACTTCAACATATGAATTGTGGGGGTAGGAGCACCATTCAGCCCATGAACGGTGATCCTGGGGAAATTACCTAACCTTTCTGGGTACTCAGTGTCTTCTGTTAAAAAATGGGGATGATGCTGCCTACCTCAAGGGAATGCTGGGAGGAATAAATGCAGTAACACATGCAGTGCCGGGCCCTGGTGAGTACTCAAGTATTATCTATTATTTGTAAGTTCTCCATTCAATCTCTGTTCTCTCCACCCAGTTGCCTCATCTCCCCTTTCACTTCCATTTCCAGGAAACCCTAGAGTGTCTTGAGCAATTGTTCTTGGTTTCTGTTAAGCTTGCCTCTTAGATCTCCAAATCTTTCCTGTGAAGCTCAAGGTCTTCCTTCGTCTATTGTAGGAGTCTCAGAGCGGAGCAAAGGGAATGCGTGGCAGGTGCTGCAACCTGAGGGTCCCATGCTGGTGGCAGAAGGTGAGACACTCCTACTGAGGTGTACAGTGATCGGCTCCTGCATTGATGTCATGATAAAATGGGTCAAGGTGAGCAGTCAGGACCAGCAAGAAATTTATAATTTCAAACATGGCTTCTTCCCTGGGGTGACACCTATGAACCAGCAGACGTTGGAGCCACTTAGTTGCGACTATTCCATCTATATTCATAATGTCACCAAGGAGCAGGAAGGAACCTACCACTGTGTGAGGTCTGATGGCTTGCGTGAGCACTCAGAAATGCAGCTGGATGAAGGCACCTCAGTGCTTGTGAAGGGTGAGTATCAGGCCCTGCAGATTAAAACATTCTGTTCTGATCTGTTTTTCTACATCTGTCACTTTTATCCACAATCACGCTGCATACAGAAAATCTCAGTGGCACATAACAGTTAGTGTACCTCACCCACACATTTATAGGCAGCTGGGTGGTTCTAGTCCATATGTCCCATTACAGACTGGCCAGAGTGCATTTTCTCATGGAGATGCCAGGAGAATAAGAAGTCAAGTCCCACCGAAACCAGTTTGGCTCAGTGGATAGAGCATCAGTCTGGGGACTGAAGGGTCCCAGGTTCGATTCTGGTCAAGGGCGTGCGTGTACTGTGGTTGCGGGCACATCCCCAGGCGGGGGCGTGCAGGAGGCAGCTGGTCGATGATTCTCTCTCTCTCATCGATGTTTCTAACTCTCTATTCCTCTCCCTTCCACTCTGTAAACTATCAATAAAATATATTAAAAAAAAAAAAAAAAAGAAATCAAGTCCTAACTTGCTAGTATGTACATTTCAAGCTTCTACTGACATAGCGTCTGCTAGCAGTCCATTGGCAAAGTAAGTCACATGACTCAGCTCCAATTCAGTAGACAAGAAAGTATACCCTACCATCATGAGGGTATGGCAGGAGTGTGGATGTTCCAGAGGAGAGTTAGGAGCTGGGGTTGATCATTTAATTTCCTCACTACCCAAGGAATCAGTCATTTTATCTATAAGGTCACCAATGGTGACCTGGATACCCAAATCCTGGGTGTGTCATTCAATAGAAGTGTGTTCTTAAATCAGTCACTTCAGCTCTATGTACCCCACGTGCCTAACTTGAAAAATAGACAACATAATTCCTGCTTCAAGAGTTGTTTGGGTGAGGAACAGAAGTTTGTGAAACCACTCTGTAAATTGCTGACATGGAGAGTATCTGGAGTGTGGTGATGGTGGCGGGGAGGTCCTTTTTCACTTGATGAAAGCATTTTGGGAAGACTTCTCTGAAATGGTTTGGCTGGTGCCTTCTCTTGGTCCTGCAAGTCCTCTGGGTTTCCAAACTCAGGGGGATTTCCTGGGCCATCTCCACAACCAGACTGAGTCCTTCTTCAGGGGAGGACGTTTGTGTGTCTTTTCTGAGCTTCCTTTTTCCCTGTTCTAGCATCAACACAAAGTCTGTACTGAGGACTTCTTTATATCCCTGGCTGGTGTGGCTCATTCCTTACACAGAAAGGTTGCTGGATGGATTCCTAGTCGGGGCATATGCCCGGACTTGGAGTTCAATCCCTTTTCAGAGCATGTGTAGAAGGAAATCCGTCCACGTTTCACTCTCACATCGTTGTTTCTCTCTCTTTCCCTCTCCCTTCCTCTCTTCAACTACGGAGTCGTGAGGTGACATATGAGGGAGTGGCCGAGTGAAGAAATCAGGAAATCGGAAGGGAGGAAAGATAGGAGGGTGGGAATGAGTGGACAATGGAAGAAGAGAGAGAATAAAACAAGGATGTGTCTTTGGCTTCAGGAGCTGGGGACCTGGAGCCAAACCTCTGGATCATCCAGCCCCAGAAGCTGGTGTGGGCAGCCCCCGGAGACACTGTCCTCCTGAACTGCACCGTGCATGGAGAGGGTCCTCCCGGGCCCATCCGGTGGTTCCGGGGCACTGGTTTGAGCCGTGAAGCCATTTACAACTTCGGAGGGCTCTCCCACCCCAATGTGACTGCGGTCCAGGCCTCCAGCAGCGATTTCAGCATTCTTCTGCAAGGTGTCTCTCCTGAGTATGCGGGCACCTACTACTGTGTAAAGTTCCAGAGGAAGCTTAACCGGCAATACCTATCTGGACAGGGCACCAGGCTGCGGGTGAAAGGTAAGGCAGGGGGTCTGGGAGGTGTGAGGGAAAATGGGGAGGTTTTCCACAAGGAGCTTTTCACCAGGTCCCAAACACGCCAGCTCTCCTCAGCCTCCGTACCTTTACGTAAACTGTTCCCTCCGCCTGGAATGTTTCATCATTTTCTATGTCCAACTCCTATTCGTCCTTCACAGCGCATCATCAATAGCCTCTCCGCTGTGAAACCTTCTCCTTTTACCAGGCAGAGTTCATTTTCCTCATTCCGGACCCCATAGAATCATCTATAGCTAATGGTTCAACAAACAAACTGCTCTGCAGTGTGCTCGGAGCTGTGGATACTGCAATAAACCAGACATTGCTTCAACCCCAGAGATGCTCAAACGCGTCTAACTAATCCTTATAGGTACTAGGTTTGACTTACAGCCCCCATCCCAGGTAGAGACTGGCAGGCTCATTTTGGTGACCCCAGCTCCAAGCACAGGGCTCAAGAAAGTTGTGGGTCAGGAAGAAAAGTGGAATTGAGACCGCCTCTCTTCCTTGCAGCAGAGCCCACTTCTTCCCAAGAGGCAGAAGTCACCAATCACCGTGTGGCCAGGAGATCTCTGTCGGGTGAGTGAGTGTTCCTACCGCCAGTGGAACTACCCAGTACCCCACAGGTGAAGGTGGGGCCCAGATGGCTCAGCCATGGGAAGGGAGTCGACCCATTGAGGGCTCATCTGTCACCAAGAGAGTTTCTAGGACTCCATCTCAACTGCAGGGTCGGGAAGCTAAAGCTCCACCAGAGAAACAGTCAGTGCTGACTGGTCAGTGGGCGGTCTTGTTTGAGAGGTAGTGGTCTCCCTGTGATTCCTTGTGAGATTACACTGCAAAACTGTGCATAACTGTGTATAAGCACATGGCTCTGGATTGAGCCCCTTTCTCTCTAGGAGACTGTGGGCAGGTTGCCTCACTCCTTGAATCTCTGATGTCCTGCTCTGTGAACTGAGGTGTTGGGTGGGGATCAGAGAGCCTACCTCACAGGGTTGTGTGTGGACCCAAGGAGTCACATGTGCTGAATGCCCAGAACTGTGTCTTTCACATCACCTGTTAGTACTCAGGGATGCACGATGGCTGGGGGAACTGGAAATAAAGGTAGCCAGGGTGCCCTCCCTGATGCTCAGCCCTGCTCCTGCCATTCTTTTTTTTTTTTTTAATTTTTATTTTCTTTTCTTGATTTTTTACAGAGAGGAAGGGAGATGGATAGAGAATTAGAAACATTAATGAGAGAGAAACATCGATCAGCTGCCTCCTGCACACCCCCCGCTGGGGATGTGCCCGCAACCAAAGTACATGCCCTTGACCAGAATCAAACCTGGGACCTTTCAGTCTGCAGGCCGATGCTCTATCCACTGAGCCAAACTGGTTTCGGCATGTTCCTGCCATTCTTGGGAGCCCACCACTTCTTTGATACATGTGGTCCTGAGCAAATCACTTCCTTTCTCTGCGTCTGTCTCCTCATCTATACATATTGCATTGCTAGCCTACCTTGCAAGATTCGTTTGAGGATTCTATTAGGCAATTAGGAAGTGCTTAGCTCAGGGCCTGGGGCAGAGGAGTCAGTCAGCCAATAAATGAAAGCAGTTTTCTGTTATAGCACAGCCTTGGATGACGTAGTTTCCATCATTTTGCTATAATGTGAACAAGATGCCATAGGAATTTCACTTTTTTTTAAAATTATTGTTTGAAACATTAAGGAACTTCACTCTTGTTTATATCACTTAGCCTGTGGTACAGTTGGTTTCATTACAAATATTATGTTTTGCTTAAAGTCATAGAACCTATGGGTGATGGTAAGTGAGGACTTACTGTATTGTCAGAAGTGAGGGATGCTATCAGGATGATTAAAGATACAGGTAGGATATTGAGCAAAGCCTTTTCAGGCCTGGGACAAAGGGAAGGGAGGTCTTGGATCTCCCCTTCCAGTAATAGAGAGGATGTGGCCCCGAAGTTAGAGAGCAGCTGAGCCCAAACCTCGCCCACAGAGAACACTGATGTATGGACTCACTTAGGGTCCTTCTTGAACTCTCCTTTGCGTCCCCTAGGCCTCCTGTCGGTGCTCACAGCTATGGTCCTGGGACTGAAGGCAGTGATCCTGACTGCACTCCTGCTGGCCCTGGCTGCCCTCTGGAGACACACTGGGCAAGAAAAGCTATGCCCATCTTAGCCTGGGGCATGGGGCATGGGGCATGGGGCATGGATAAGGGATTAGCTCCAGATGGTGCTCTGAGTCGGAGAGGGGCCAGGACTCCCCAACCATTTCTCTGCCTCCAATCCCAGCCTCCAGATGTCCCCCAGGACTCGTGAGAAACTCCAGTATCCGTACACCTGGTTCCAGTTCACCTGGTGAAATACCCCACCTGGCACTGGGCTCCCCTCGGATGTGCTTTCCTCTCTCTTCTCAGCCCTGCTCCTAGCATAAGGCACACCATCTGGCCCACACCAATAAGACACTAGTTTATTACTGGCTATATAAGTACTGGACCTTCTTCAGTAGACGTCTCCTGCCTGATAAGACAAGGACTCCACTTTGCTCGGTAAGATGAGCCCCTAACTAATGCTCTGCTGTGTGAGCCTGAACCAATTGCGGCCGCCTGTCTGACTCTGTCTTTATAGTTCATCTTTCGGTGTGCATCACCGGGTGGCCTTTGCCAGAGCCTAGGGCCCCCTAGGAATAGGTAAATAAACCTTGCGTGATTGCATACTAATTCTGACGTGTGTTCATGCGTTCCAGTTCGGCTCAGCTGTCTAGACATTGAAGGACCAGGGGATAGACCGTTATTGCCGACTCCTGGTCACCTGCGTTTGTCCCACTCAGTCTAGACAGGTAATTAACTGGAGCCTAATTGGGACATCTGGCAAAGGTAAGAGATGGAGAAGCATGTCCAGGCAGGTGGCAAGAGGCAAGAGGGCAAAGAAGCTCAGGACCTAAAAGACAGGGTTGTGTCTGAGAAGGTGCCCTTGGGCCAGAGGCCTGAAGAAAGTGAGGGAGCACCTTGCCCAGCAATGAGGGAAAGGTGTAGCTGGCCAGAGCAGCGGTGGGCCGAGGTGGTCGTTTATTTCAATGTGTCCAAAGACTCATGCATATGCATGTTTGCAACATTGAGGAGCATCAAGAAAGGGATGTGCCTGGAGCAGAGGAAGTGAGAAGCCTAAGAGATGAGGTGGAGGGGCGGGCTCCTGTCACGTGGGTCTGGCAGGCCCTAGAGACTCACGCGAAGATGACGAGCCACCGAAGGCTTGGAAGAGAGGCGTGACCTGCTGTTTTGTTCCCTCGAGTGTGAGTGAGCCCCAGGAGGGCAGGGACTTTGCTTTGCTCGCTGCGGGTTGCCAGCCCTGGAAGAGCATCGGGCCCTTGATAACACTCCGTAACCATTTGAACAAGTGGATGAACAAAGGAATGAATGAATGCAAAGACCAGATGAGTCCATGATTAATTGACTCGTTCAGCCATCCTGCATTCCATCTACCCCCACGTTTCAAAGCCGCCGCGCCCCAATCCCCCGCCGCTGGGCTGCCGCTCCGCGCCATGGCCGCCAGAGGGCGCGGAAGGAGCGGCGGCGTCGCCTGCACGGAAGGCTTTCTCTGAGGCACCGGTGAGGCGGGGCCTGCGGGCGGGCGGGCGCCGCTCCGCTGAGCCGGACCCACCCGCGGGCGGAACGCGACGGAGCGGCTGGGGCTGTGCAGCGGCGGCCGGAGCGGTTTGGGGAGCACACACGGGCGAACATGGCGGAGCGGCAGGAGGCTCTGAGGGAGTTCGTGGCGGTGACGGGTACCGAGGACGACCGGGCTCGCTTCTTCCTGGAGTCGGCCGGCTGGGATCTGCAGGTAGGGAGGGCCGCGAGGCGGGCCGCGTCCGGCGGGCCGGGGGCTGCGCGGCGCGGGCGCCTGGCTCGTCCAGCCCGCGGCGGCCGAAGCGCACCGTCATCCCGCCGGGCCGCGGCCCGATACAGGCCTCTGGGGCCCGCGGCCGCCTGCCACGCCTCCGGGGTCGCGGGAAAACGCGGGGCAGCCCCGGCCCGGCCCGGCCTCGGGTTCCCCTCGTGCCTCTCCGGTTCGTTGGGCCGGCGAGGCGAGGGCCCTGCAGCCACCCGCGTGGGGACGGGCCCTGGGGGCGTGGCGGCCGCGCCGAGGCCCGGTCGGAAGATGCTGGGTCGGAGGCCGGGCCGGGAGACCAGCTCCGCGGCGGAGCAGCAGTGGGCCGAGGTGGTCGTTTATTTCCATGTCCGACCGCAGGAGGGGCGAGAAGCCGGGCCAGGAACCCGGCCCACGCCGCCTCCCACCTCAGGGCCGGGAGAAGCTACCTCCCTCCGGGGCGGTGGCGCCCGGTTGGAATGTGTTTATCTTTCTTGGCCACCTTATCTGAAAAAAATGGAAGTCTCTAAAGGTTATTGTCTAGTTCACTGGGATGTGTTAAATATTCATAAATGCTTATTAAGACATTAAGATGAGCCGCACGCAGGCCTTTTTTTTTTTTTTTTTTTACTGTTTAATCACCCGTATCTGGAACAAGGCCGGCACATAAAAACCATAGAAAGAATTGCATTGCATAAATGTTCCTGGCCGGCGTACATCTTGGATAGAGGATGATGAACCAGATGATGTTCTAACTGCTTTCCGTGTCTTGAGTCATTTAAACTTTGCATTTTGCAGCTAAGGTTCAGGGAGCTTAAGTGACTTGCTTAAGGCTTCATTCACTGCCTACTGGGTGGAAGAGAGAACATTGGAACTCAGTGACGTCCGATTCCAAAACCCAGCTTCCTCACCACCATATGCCAGGCGCTTTGCATATGATGGTTCGTTTAATCCTGGCAACACTGAGGTTAAGATGAGCCTCATGGTACAGGCGAGGAGCTGGAAGCTCAGAGGGCAATTGATGTGCCAGGGCTACACAGCCAATACGTAGTGAGTTTGGGATTTATGCTGGGTCTGCTGACGCCACCATTTAAATTGCTTCCCCAAAGAGAGAGAGCATCGCACCTCTGCAGACTCGGTGCGAGCAAAGCTCTCGTGCAGGGCAGAAACACAAAGTGCAGTTTCTGCCTGAAAGGCCTAGAAGCTCACGGTGTTACAATTAGCACGTCATCAGCCCCCGTCTCCTCACACTGTAGGTGGGAAACAGTGTCATGTATGTGACATGATTTGCCTGGCCAGGCCATCACTCATATCTCGGTGCCAGTCACTCATATCCCGTGACTACACACTTTCTCCCTGCGAGCCTGTTGTGTCCTGCAAGTTACATTATATCCCATGGAGGCACATAGTTCCTAGTGGGATGATTACCATATTTTACAGCGTATAAGACGACCCCCTAATTTTACAGTTAAAACATAGGTTTAGGCCTATATTCGCTGTATAAGATTATCCCCCACTTCAAAAAAAAGACTTACTTTGCCGTCAAGATCTGCAGATAATTTTTGTGCAATTTTGGTCTTTTGCCCCCAATTTTCGGTTGACTTTTTTTTTGTTTCAAAAGTCGTCTTATACGCCGGAAAATACGGGTATGTCCCATAACAGCTCACTGCTTCCTTTGAGGCTGGTGACCTTGTGGACAGAAGCCATGTCTTTTTCATCTCTGTAGACCTCCGTGCTCTTATTTCTCTGCAAAGTAAGTGATTAGTAAGACATTAAGCCTGCTCATTGAGTCGATGAGAGAAGCAATCACAAATGGCCAAAAGACTTCCATATTCCTTGTGTATAAAGCTAAGACATGACTCTGTATACATATTAAAGGTTCGCTTGTCCATTGTGCAGGTTTGGGGGGATGGGTAGGAAACAGCCTCGGAGAGAAAGTAGAAGTAGCATCTGGACTGGCCTCACAGGTCCTGACTCCTGCCTGTCACATAAGAGCAGAGATTAATGCCTGTGCACACTGCCTGGGACGGAACCCTGCTCTGCTCCTTTCCGAGTGTGTGACCTTGGCCGTTTTCTTAATATCTGAGGACTTCTGTATTAACTACAAAATGGGAGGATAGTAGTTAAAATTGCATAGGGTTCTTTGAGGATGAATTGAGTTAGCACATATGCAGTTACATTCAACGTGGCATGTCAGTGCTCAATAATTGTACACGGCTTTTCCTAGATCATGTCTTTAAATAAAATGAGAATGAGGAATGTCTCCATCCCAGCCTTCCCTCTTGCCTTTCCCCCTCACAGTAGGTGGAATTTGTTTCGGGTAACAGTTGGTCTAATTTTCTATGACCCTCAGGTACAGAGCTAGTGTAAGTGTGGGCCTTATCTTTGTGTCTTTGCTCCCTTGTACTCAGAGGATATCTGTGTTAGATGAAGGCTTGTGTAAGGACCCCAAGTAACTACCTCTCTGTTTCAGATCGCCCTAGCGAGCTTTTATGAGGATGGAGGGGACGAAGACATTGTGACCATTGCGCAGGCAGCCCCCAGTTCGTTACCCAGAGGCACAGGCCCCAGGTAAGGACTAGCTTCAATAACTGCTACCTGGGTGTGCTCCCAGCAATGATGAGGAGCTGTTTCCTAACTTGACAGACGGTTCAGGCCTGATAGGGACCAGTGGGTTTCAGTGACAAAGTTAGACTCACTGGTGGGTCCTAGTTCTTAGTCCAGAGGAAATTGGTGGCATTCTCAGAAGCCAAGTTTGTGCTGGCACCTTAGAGGAACTCTGTGTCGAGCCTGCCTTCCCCCGATGCAACCCTGTGTGACCTCCCTGTTCCTCTCCTGTGGAGAGATGCAGAACACTCTCCGGTGGGGACTCAGTGAGTGTGGTTCATGATCGTCCTGGAGGAAACCACAGAACCTCCTTTTAAGATGTTTGAGGGTCTTTTACTTATCAAAGTGAGGAGTGGCTCCATCTCTGAGGTTTCAGTAGAAACCGAAGGACTTCCTTCCAGGGGTGCTCAGATGTACAAGATTAGACTTTAAGAGGGCTTTTGTTGTGGTTTTGGATTATTTGTTGACATTTTAGGATGCCCATTACCCTGTTAAGAAGTCTTAGAGCCCAGCTGGCATGGCTCAGTGGTATGACCCAGAAGGTCACGGTTTGATTCCCAGTCAGGGCACATGCTCGGATTATAGGCTCAATCCCAGGTGTGGGGTGTGCAGGAGGCAGCTGATCAGTGATTCTCTCTCATCATTGATGTTTCTATTTCTCCCTCCCTTCTCCTCTGAAATCAATAAGAACATATTTAAGAAAAAAAAGTCTTATAGAAAACAAATGTATTTGGGTTTGACTTCAATCCTGGAATATAGATACAGTGTTTCTTTGCCAGTGAGTTGCTAATTGTGTTTCTGAGTCTTAAATTACACATCCCTTTATTTATTTGTTTATTTTTGGTTAATCCTCACTTGATATTTTTTCAATTTTCCGAGAGAGAGGAAGAGAGAAACATCGATGTGAGAGACACATATCAATTGGTTGCCTCCTGCATGCACCCTAATTGCGGCTGGGAATGAGCCTGAAACTAACCCAGGTATGCTGGGATTGAACCTCCAACCTTTTAGTGCTTGGGCTGGTGTTTTAACCATTGAGCAACATGAGCCAAGGCGCATTTTTTCCCTTGAACACTAACCCCAGATCTCATTGCTTGCTTAACCTTTTTCCCTACTTCCCATTTCCAGAGGAAAGAGGTTGTAGACAACAGATCTTTTCATTATTCGTAGGTGCTAACCTGTGAGATGGCCTTAATGGCACATCAGGTTGTTACTGCCTGGAACATGGTTATAGGATAAGGGCTCTTGCAGCTGCTGGTATAAATAGCTGATCTCCTGGGGTGTGAGTCTTTCATAGCCACCCCAGATTTCTGTTGGGGTGTTGGCATGTCAGAGATATATAACAGAAGAAGTTGAAATTTAACCTGTGATGTCAGTCATGTATTCACACCTTTCTTCTCTAGTAATCCCAAAGTCCCATTAAGGGAGTGGTTAAGAGATCTGTGATCTTGGGCAGGTTACTTAACATCTCAGTCCCTCAGTTTTTCTCACTTGTCAAATGGGAATGGGAATAGTCCCTACCAAACAGGACAGGGGTCAGCAAACTCATTAGTCCACAGCCAAATATCAACAGTTCAATGGTTGAGATTTCTTTTGAGAGCCAAATTTTTTAAACTTAAACTTCTAACGCCATTTCTTCAAAATAGACTCGCCCAGGCCGTGGTATTTTGTGGGAGAGCCACACTCAAGGGGACAAAGAGCTGCATGTGGCTCCCGAGCCGCAGTTTGCCGACCACTGAAATAGGAGAGTAAATGATACATACAAAGCACTTTGAACACAAAGAGCTATTATTATCATTTTATTATTACTGGCATCCATTCTCACCTTCCCCATTTTTCTTTATGTTTCTTGTCATTTCACAGCAAGTATACATATTTAGAAGTAGATATAAAGTAAAAAAAATCAAGGAAAAGGAGAGTTTAATGTTAAGACTGAGGGCAATAAAAGGCTGAATACATGCAGACTCAAAGGCCTTATTTTATTGCTTTCGCTAAACCTCAGACGTGGCCTTTCGGGAAAGGAAGGGCAATTTGTTGCATTGTTGTCCTTGCCCAGAAGGAAAACACTGACTACATTCTCCGAAGCCGAGCTTGTGCTACACCTCAAAGGAATTGTGTGTGGGGCCTGCTTCTTCCCACCCTCACTCCTGTTTGACTTGACTGTTGCAGGACACTAAGCCTCCTCTGGGCTCTCCCTATGCTCCCCTCTCTTTCATCTCAGATACCTTTCATGTCGCGCTGCTATGAATGACAATCATGACAATTAGTAAGTTACTCCTTTGACTCTAGACTCAGCAAGGTTCTTTTTATTTTTATTTTTTTATTGATTTTTCACAGAGAGGAAGGGAGAGGGATAGAGAACTGAAAACATTGATGAGAGAGAAATATCGACCAGCTGCCTCCTGCACACCCTCCGCCAGGGATGTGCCCGCAACCAATGTACATGCTCTTGATCGGAATCGAACCCGGTACCCTTCAGTCCGCAGGCCAATGCTCTATCCACTGAGCCAAACCGGTTTCAGCTCAGCAAGGTTTTTAGTGGGGAGGCTCTGAACTCTGGACAAATCCTTGGAATTAATGTGAGAAGGTTCATAAATTACTTGAGATTGTAGGCAGAAATTTGTAGTATTTTTCTGGCAAGGAAATCCATAGCATTTATCAGATTCTCAAAGGTCATCAGGACATAAAGGTTAGTCATTGCTACAGGAGAAAAATCTAAATTCCTTCACAGTAACAGTCACCATTATTCAGCACTTACCACGTACCAAGGACTGGATTAAGTCTTTTTTTAATTTTTAATTTTTATTAAGTCTTTATGTATATCTCTTTATGCCTCTCTACAACTCTATGAGGTGGATACTGTTGTTATTTTGATTTTACAGATTCCAAGATCACACAGCTAGTAAAACAAGGATCCAAGTACAGCATTCTGGTTCCAGCATTCAGCTGAATTATGTCCTGCCTCTCCTTGTGAACTTTCAGGGTCCTCCAGAGTGCAGTGAACTTGCCATCCTAATCATAACCCCCCTTTTCTCATTTACCTCACTGATTTCTTGGTGTCTCGATTTTGCCTTGTTTTTGGTTCTTCTGCTTTTGTTTGATCCTCTTATCTGATGGGGCATGCCTGTTCTTGCTTTCTGCCTATCCAGATCTCCTGCTTCTTTCCGGGTTTAGCTCCATTCCCATTTCCCCTATTGAGCATGTTAACCCATAGGCAAGACACCACAACCCTGTTCCTCAGAACTCCAGTCACAACTGTAATTCACTTATTTGGTGCCTATCCTTTTTCTGCTCGGTAACATCTCTACTGTGTTTTCGTGAACTCTTCTGACATTTAACTTCATTTTTTATAACTAAGTAAATTATAAGTACCAAGAAGTGGTAGGGACTAGTATTTCAGGAGCACCCACATCTGTATAGCTCTGTCAGGTATCCTCACTTACGTTCTCATCTCAACTAGAGGCCTGGTGCATGAAATTTATGTATAGGTGTGGTCCCTACACCTGGCCAGATTTAGAAGCGAGAGTGTCTGTCGTGGAAGGGCAGGTCCCAGCTGACCTCTGGGCCCTGGGCAGCACCTGAGCTCCTGGGCCCCTCGTGTCCCCCTCCACCTGTGTCATCAGGCCCCCACATGGCTCCCTCAGCACCTGGGAACCTGGTGGCAGCTCTGACTCCTGTTGCCACCACTGGTAGGGCGATTGGTGAGGCAATTGGGCACTCCTGAAATACTAGCTGCCTTGACCTAGCACCACCTGCTCAATTGCTCTATCATCCTGCCACAGTCCTGCCCTCGTTGGGGCAGGCAGCACCTCCACTGCCGCCTGATGCCAGCACTACTACGCCAACACCTGCCATGTTCTGCTCTGCCCCCTGGTGGTCAGCACACATCATAGTGAGCAATCAAACTCCTGGTCGAGGGAACAATTTGCATATTATGCTTTTATTATATAGGATAACTGTGGAAGTAGGTACGGTGCTCACCATTTCACAGGTCAAGATGCTGAGCCTTAGAAAGGTTGAGTAACTCACAGTTGCTCTTATGTCAGATTCAAGCCCAAGTCTGTCTAACTCCAGAGTTACTTTTACTTACCATTTAGCACCTCCCACCCCTGTACTTAGCCCAGGGTCAACAAAGAGGTAGTAGTTTTTTGTTTTTTCTTCCATCTAACAAAACTATACTTTTTGAGAATTTCAGGGACTACCATTGTCTGATCTAAAACTATTCTGTCCATTATAGCTACTAGCCTCGTGTGTTTTTTTAAATTAAAATTAAGTATTTGTACTTAACCACATTTCAAATGCTCAGTAGCCACATGTGACTAGTGGTTCCATATTTGATAATCCACACTGCAGAAAATGTAATCTGACAAAGGACATTTATGCCACTTTAGGGTTCCAGAGTAGCCTGAGAAATAGAGTTTTGATGTTGAAAAATTGAGATTTCTGAGACATTTTGCCAACTTGTGGAGAACAAAGACAAAATATTCTGAAGTTGGCAGTGTCCTCAAGACATCCATACCATTAAGGTAACTCTCAGAAGTGTTTCTCAAATAGTCAGTCTTTCTCCCCCTGCCACCCACCTCTGGTTTTTATCACATTATTGTGTATGTCCATGGAATATGGGCATGAATGATTTTAAGGCAGTTGTTGAACAGGCCCCTAGATCATAAGCAAGGCTTGGAAATCCTGTACAGTTCATTGATTTATGAAACTCATTTGTGGGGCCTGAGGATTTGCAAACTGTGAGAAATGCAAATCCTCAGGCCCCACTTTAGACCTCTATATTTGGGGTTTATTTTTGTTTTTATTGGTTAAAATGGTCGTCTCCCGCCCCTGAGAGCTCCTGGGCTGTGAGAGAGGGCAGGTTGGGCTGAGGAACCCCCTTCCAGTGCAAGAATTTTCATGTACCGGTACCAGGCCTCTAGTCTTACATAATAATAGACAAACATGTAAATTAACCATTCCTCCGCCACACCCACAGCCAGTCAGAGTGAGTGTGTAAATTAGAAGGCTAAAGATGGCCCATACCCAACTGCTCCAGGTGTAGAGTGGCCAGGCGGGGCAGGATGCCTGCTATTCGAGGGAGAACAGAGGGAGGGTGGGAAGGGAGTGTGGGGTTGAAGGGACCTACAGGAGCAGAGTGCCACAGCAAAGATGAAGATGGCAGACTTGCCGGAGTGAAGGCCTGGGTCTAGGGTCCCGGATGAAAGCCAGTGCTGGAAGCCAAGGGAAAGAAGGCCTATTGCGTGAATTTCTTTGTGCAGTGGGCCTCTAGTGTTTTTATAAAATGAAAGTCTTATGATCCTTGAAAAACTAAGATGGTTCTTCGCAGACAAATCTAAACTAGAAAAAAAGTGGCAGTGTAAGACGTCAGAGGAGGAAATTAATCCTCCACACATTCATTTTTTGTGTGCCTCTAAACCACACCACAGACAACTCTGCTTTTTTTCTAAACATTGAAAATACTTTAAAAAAATTTTTTTATTGATTTCAGAGAGAAAGGGAGAGGATAAGAGAGAAACATTAATGATGAGAGGATCATTGATTGGCTGCCCTCTGCATGCCCCCAACCGGGGATCGAGCCCACAACCCGGGCATATGCCCTCAACCGGAATCGAACCTGGGACCCTTCTGTAGGCCGACACTCTATCCACTGAGCTAAACTGGCTAGGGTCATTAGTAATTTTTTTAAAATATATTTTATTGATTTTTTTATAGAGAGGAAGAGAGAATGATAGAGAGTTAGAAATATCGATTAGAGAGAATCATCGACCAGCTGCCTCTTGCACACCCCCTACTGGGGATGCGCCCGCAACCAACGTACATGCCCTTGATCGGAATCGAACCCGGGACCTTTCAGTCTGCAGGCTGACGCTCTGTCCACTAAGCCAAACCAGTTTCGGCCATTAGTAAATTTTTTAAATAGTGCAGACTCCCATCCTGTTCCTCTCCCCCTTTCTAAACTTATTATCCTGTGTCACCTTGAAGAAATAAATGCCACATTATTCTATATATAAACTTGGACAGATTAACTGTTTTCTACAAAACTCTTCCTATCCACCAAAAAATCTAACCCCAGTGTCCTCAACTCCTTAACAGCTGGTGATGGGGGTTACCTTTCATGAACTTCCCTGAGATAATTTTGTTGTTTTCTGCATCTCTAGCGATAACAGGGTAACTTCCTTCAAAGACCTCATTCATGACCAAGATGAAGATGAGGAAGAGGAAGAAGGCCAGAGGTGAGTCTTTGATGGAGGAACACATTCACAGAAAAATTCTTGCTAATGTATAAATCATGGTAAGGTGTAAATCATGTAGAAGGATAAACGTGTTTGGTTATCATTAGCTATTGTTACCGTGGACTAGTCACACACGTAGTAGAAACAGTCTCCCCCTCCTCCCAGAGATAGTTTAGAAGTAATCCCTATCCCCTGTTACTACTGCTTTTATTTTGGTATATTCGGGATTTATTTTTGTTTTTAATGGTTAAAATATTTATTTGTTGAAGAAAATTATGAGACGGGAAATAAATCAATAAGAAAGAAAAAAGTAACTTATGATACCACAACCTAGAGGTAACCAGGTATCAGTATTTTTTGGTGTATTTCTTTCCAGTGTTTTCTTTTTAATTAAAGCAGTACATCCAGCCTTGACAGGTGTGGCTCAAGTGAGTATCGTCCTGTGCACCAAAAGGTTGCTGGTCCAATTCCTGATCAGGACACATGGCTAGATTGCTGACTCGATCTCCAGTATGGGATATGCAGGAGGCAGCTGATTGATGTTCTGCTCTCACATTGTTGTTTCTCTTCCTTCTTCTTCCTCTAAAAAAATCAGTAAAAAAAAACAAACATTAAAAAAAAAGTCAATACATTATTCCCCACTGGTGTGGCTCAGTGGTTGAGCTGCAAAGCGGAAGGTCACAGTTCAATTTTCAGTCAGAGCATATGCTCAGTTGTGGGCTCCATTCCCAGTATGGGGTGTGTAGGAGGTCAATTATTCTCTCTCATCATTGATGTTTTTATCTCTCTCTCTCTCCCTCTTCCTCTCTGAAATCAATAAAGTAATATTTAAAAGTAAAATAAAATAAAAAGCAATACATCACATAATAAATAATAAAAGGCTAATAAATGTATATTTCCCCCACTATACACGCACATATACTGTTTGTTTTTAAGTTTTAGGAATGTTATAATGAGATTAGTGTTCATTGTAGAAAATACAGAATAGTGCAATAAAAAAGTACCAACACTCATCTACTATTCGGTAACTACATTAATATTTTGGCCTATTTTCACTTGGTCTTGATTCTGTGTATAAATACACTTTGTTTTATATTATTGTATTGTACATGGAGATAGTCAGATAATTTTGTTTTTCTGTTGGGTTACTGCAAATTCTTAAATACTTTTTCATGTTAAAATTATAAGTGTTTTCAGTGACTATAATACATCATATAGATGTCCAACATTTTGATTGTTTTATTTTTTACCACTATAATTATTAGTGCTGTGAAGATATCTGTCTGTTAATCTTTGACTACATTTCAGATTATTTTCTTAGAATAGTTTCAAGAAATGAAAATACCAGATCATGGCCATGAATGATGATTTTTAAAAAAATATATTTTATTGATTTTTTTACAGAGAGGAAGAGAGAGGGATAGAAAGTTAGAAACATTGATGAGAAAGAATCATCAATCAGCTGCCTCTTGCACATCCCTACTGGGGTTGTTCCTGCAACCAAGGTACATGCCCTTAACCAGAATCGAACCTGGGACCTTTCAGTCCGCAGGCCAATGCTCTATCCACTGAGCCATACCTGTTTCGGCTGATGAGTGCTTTTTGTTTTTTTTTTTGAATGAATTTACTTTAGTGTTTGTTTTTTTAAATCTTTATTGTTGAAAGTATTGCAGATGTCCCATTTTTCCCCCCCATTGACCCCTTCTGAGCAATCCCACCTCCATCCCCCCGCCTCCCATCTCTGGTCTTTATCACACTATTGTGTATGTCCATGGGCTCTGGGATGAATGATTTTAAGGCAGTTCATAATGATTTTAAGGCAGTTCACCTCTAGTTCATAAGCAAGGCTTGGAGATCCTGTACAGTCCATTGAGCAAAACTTCATCTACCTGAAATGAGCAAAAATGAACTGGCTGCAGCCTCATTTCACGGGTTTGCTTCGTGGATTCTGCCTTGGTCTCTCAGACATTCCTAAAGAACATTGTGTAATAACCATTATGGAAATGCAGTTAGCTTACCATGGTCAGCCCAAAAGAACAGGTCATTTGGGAAGTGGGCTGAGAAATTGCATATGTTTTATTCTCTGATTTCATCTGAATACACTTTACACTGCCTTCAGCCTTCTTGGATACACTCAAGGTTGAGAAAGAAATGTTAACTTGGGGGTTTTACACTCCTTGAGTGACAGGCAATGTCATCAAGTATGTGACTGCCTAGCTCCTAAATGACCTGTTCTTCCAAGCATTGACCCTTCATTTCACCTCCTAATTACTTCCTTGGCTCCTCAGCATTTTAGACCTGAGGACTCTGGTGGTAGTGTTCTTGCCAAAGCCTATAGCTTTGCCTTGCAATATATATATATATTTTGCATTTCTTAGGGAATATCAGGAAATGAAAGGCTGAGACTTACTTTTATAGGTTCTTAATTCCCCCTATCCAGATAATGCTATTGATTTAGCTGTGAATAGGAGTAATAAGGAGGCAGCTAGCCAGGCTATGTGACTCCTGGTTTTCAGACCCAGGTAAAAAAGTGCTAACTTAATCTCAAGCCATGCTTGGTCCATTGCAACACCCAATGTGGGTGTCTTCAGGCTTGTTTTTGGGCATCCCTGACCTTTTTCAGTACCCTCGCCTCAGTGCCCCCAGTATATGTCACAGATTAGCAAGGTGAGGTAAGGCTTGGGTGAGCTGTTGATGCTGTATCACCCCACCTTACATGTGTGCATTACTTTGTGCTTGTTCTTTTGCATACATCTGCTGATTTGAACCTCATGGCCCTGACTTAAGGAGCCGGTAGGTAGAGCATGTGATTCTTTCCTCTCATTTCAGAGACAAAGAAAATAAGATGCAGGGCAATACACTGTCTTGCCCAGGGTCACTCAGCAGCAGAGCCAGTAATGGAGTCTCGCTGCCTGTACTGATTATGCCATTGTTACCATTAACACAGAACTGTTAGTGGCAGCTGCTTCTGACTGTGACCATAGTTGTTATGTTCCGGAGAAGTGCTGACCACCGGATGGCCAATTGCCAGTGGGACTCTCCGGAGCTGACTTGCTGTCATGCATGCCTGGAATGCCTTCCCCTTGATTTCTTCGCCTGATAATTTCATCCTCTTACTCAAGACTCAGCTCAGAAGACACCTTTCTTAGGAAGCCTTGACTGTCCTCCCCAGCTCAGTGTTCCTAGAGTATCCCTTATACTGGCCTGTTGCTGCTCACCCTGCATTGTGCCTGCCTGCCTCCTTACATATGCCCCAACTAGATAGTGAGTTCCTTAAAGATGAGCATAGTACCCTTCTCCTCAATGTGCCCAGAACCTGGTACATACTGTATTTGTGTTTTCAAGTGCGTTTGGTGTTAGATGTGTACTTTCTGCACAGGTTTTATGCCGGAGGCTCAGAGAGAAGTGGACAACAGATTGTTGGCCCTCCGAGGAAGAAAAGTCCCAATGAGCTGGTGGATGATCTGTTTAAAGGTGCCAAGGAACATGGAGCTGTAGCTGTGGAGCAAATGACCAGGAGCCCTGGAGAGACCAGTAAACCAAAAGTGAGCATAGAAGGTCATCTCTGTCCACAGGACTCAGGTTCCAGCAAGAGAAGGAGGCCCTCCTCACCCCAGTAGTGACTGAATTTTTGTTTTGTTTTTCATTTGTCGCTTACTCTCATACACAGAAGAGCAGCATGGTTTCTCCCACCCTTTAATATGAAATTAACATTTGGAGCGATGTTTTCAAACTTGTGACCTATGGTTTGAGTTGGGTGCAGAACCTAACCCATTTTTATATGGCCTATCCGATTTGACTTAGTGTTTTGCTTTATTTTGTTTTAATTGAATTAATAGATACCTGTTTTATATAAAATCTGGATTTCTGTCACTTTGGGGAAATCAGAAATTCTGCAGTTATCCTATACAGCCTTTTCTACATGGTGATGATTAACTAGAGCTAGGAGCAACTGTTCTCTTGAGCCAAGCAGCATTCCCCTCTTCCAGTTCTCACCCTAATCCTGACCACTTAATGACCAGGCTGTAAATGGCTTTGCAGTCCACCTGGGCTTGTAGCTCTACATTTATGGGAAGTGGATCTAGTAGTTAACGAGCTTTTACTACATTAAGAGAGTAACCCCACCTCTATTGACCCATTCTTCAAGTTTTTATGAATTTTTCTTTTACAGCCATTTGCTGGGGGTGGCTACCGCCTTGGGGCAGCACCAGAGGAAGAGTCTGCTTACGTAGCAGGAGAAAGGAGGCGGCATTCCAGCCACGATGTGAGTGTGCATCTACCTTCCTTAGGGGAAGTTTGTGAACTGTTCTACCGTTTTTCAGAGGGGACTGGTCATGTTGCACGTGAACCATCAGCCTGTGAAAGGGAAGAGACAGTGCCCTTGCTGTAGCTCATGTACAGAGAGGCTCACCTGATAATCCAAGGCAGCTTTCATCTGGCTGGGCAGGGGGCTCTGAGAAGGGGTAAGCAGAGGGGATGGACAAAGAAGTCAACTAGCACTCCATGGACCTCAGGCAGAGGGGCAGTATATTCAGGGTTGTCATTTCTCTTGTCCTTGTGCATAAGGGTTTCTCTCCCCCCCGTCCTTGTAAGACTAATCATACTATATAAACAATTTTGAGGTTGTTTTAATATTAATGCCATAAACTTTTTTTTAAAGTTCCCTTTTTAATATATTTTATTGATTTTAGAAAGGGTGTGAGGGAGAGAGAGATAGAAATATCAATAATGAGAGAGAATCATTGATCGGCTGCATCTGCATGCCTCCTACTGGAGACCTAGCCCACATCCCGGGCTTGTGCCCTTGACACAGAATCTGACTGGGAATCGCACCTATGACCTCTTGGTGCATGGATTGATACTCAACCATTTAGCCATACCAGCCAGGCTGTCTATGTTTTAATAATGGCACAATAAAATAGTAAAAACATGCTAACTTGCAGGTTCACAATGGTGTGCTTGCGAGGTTCCTGACAATGTATGGACTACCTCCTCTTGTCACAGGTTCATATAGTGTTGAAGCTCTGGAAGAGTGGATTCAGCCTGGACAATGGTGAACTCAGAAGCTACCAAGACCCATCTAATGCCCAGTTTCTGGAATCAATCCGCAGAGGGTGAGCAGAAAAGTCCTCTTCTAGATTCCAAGTCAGCGAGTGAGATGGGGTGATCTGAATGTTTACTATTTAAGAAGTAAACATTTGTAAGCAGATTTAGCACAGTTGAGGTACAGATTCACAGATCTGCGCCTAAAACCTTCTGTGTCTTTTTCCTCTTTGGTTCTTGAGCAGAACCAAGTGACCAAATAAATACAGGTCTCTACCATGCCTTTGAGTAGACAAGAGAGAAGGGGAGGCAAACAGCCATGAGAGTAGCCAGTTTCTGTGGAGGCCCAGTGATTTTCACTGAGAAGTTTATACTATCACTGTCATTCCCATCCTTCTCTGTGTGGGTCCTAGCATTGCATTTTCTCCTGCAGGGAGGTGCCAGCAGAGCTCCGGAGGTTAGCTCATGGTGGGCAGGTGAATTTGGACATGGAGGACCATCGAGATGAGGACTTTGTGAAGCCCAAAGGATCCTTCAAAGCCTTCACTGGCGAGGGTCAGAAACTGGGCAGGTAAGGAGCGGAACTGCTGTTAGGTTCAACATATCCTGCGTATTGCTCACTTTATATAAGTCTTCACTCTTTACTAAGTATTTCACATTTTATTTTTATGGGAGGAAAATTATGGAGAATGTGAACTTTGATATTAATAGACCTGAGTTTAAATCTTCATTTTCTAGCCAAGTGACCTTGGACTGTATAGCCTCAGTTTTCCCACTTATAAAATAGGACTGATAGGAGTCATTATCTCTTTGATTATTGTTTTGAGGAGCACATAGCACTGCTCCACAATGAGTAGTAGGTATAAGCAGTAAGGGTAACACATTGCTGGTTTGACTCAGTAATTTAGAGTGTGAAGCCTTGTGGCTTAAGGCTGAAACAGACACATATACTCAGGTCAGCTGAAATGGAGGTTCAGGGGGAATAAGGAATCTTGGACTCTTCCCTCCCAGCAAGCCCTGCAGCAGCATGTTCAGGATTCAAAAATGCTCAAATATACTGTTGACCAGTGCAGGATACTGGTCAACCATTATGTTTGCTCTTTTTTTTTTTTTTTTTTTTAATATATTTTATTGATTTTTTACAGAGAGGAAGGGAGAGATATAGAGAGCTAGAAATGTCGATGAGAGAGACGTTTCTCATCTGCCTCCTGCACACCCCCCGCTGGAGATGTGCCCGCATCTCAGGTACATGCCCTTGACCAGAATCGAACCTGGGACCCCTCAGTCCGCAGACTGACGCTCTATCACTGAGCCAAATCGGTTTCGGCCATTATGTTAGCTCTTATCTCTTACTTCTGTGCTCCTTCCTGACACTCACTCTGCCACTTCCTGTGACTTTTCTGCCTGTGTCCTCTGGCATGGCCTCCATCTTGCATTCAGACCCCTGATGGGAACTGGTTAATTGATAGGCATTGTTACCTGATAGGCAGAGTTCTCCCACCAGACCTGTGACCACCCTATATGCAGGCTATCTTCTCTCGGGTCCCATTCACTTTTGGCCATGGTCATGGGGTCACTTGACCATTATTCTTCAGACGGAATTGAGTACACATGAGAGGCACTTAGAGCATAGTCCTTGCTTTACAAAGAGAAAACTGAGGCTCTTGGACTTTAGGGTTATTACCCTTGGGTACATGATTGGTGTGTGTTGGAGCCAGAACCCAGGCCATCTAATTGGCATTCCTTCCCATAGTCCTGCATAACAAGATATCCTCTCTGTCTTAGATCTGGCAGCTCTTCCATTGCCCTTGCTCTTCTCACCCTCATCTGCAGGGATCAGAGTGTGGCTTATCAACAGCTGTGCTTTTTAAACTGCTGGCTGGCCCTCCTAGGATTCCCTACCTCCCTGTTGGCTAGCATGCCTCATCAGAGGCAAGAGTTATAACTCAGGGCATTAGAGACCAACAGATTATAATTTACCAGAACCAACATAGTTAAGTCCACCTGCTTCATCATTTCACCTACCACATTGGGGTTGTGGATTAGTTCAGGACAACTATTCTCAAAGTAGTCCATTTGTAGCTTTCCTGTCAGCTATTGTAAGCTTTGTAGAGCACCAGATAATTTTTTCTTTTATTTTTATTAAAATGAAATGTGTGTTTCTTTTAAAAAAAAACACAAAAAAAAAAACTAGAAAATAAAAACTATTCCTAAATCTAGTTCCCAGATATATCCAGTCAGTATCTTAGAAGTATTCTTCTAGTTTTATGTATATTATAGTGTGTGTGTAAACATGCTCTTTTAGCTCCTGCTGTTTTGCCTAATCCATATAGCTTTGCTGTCATTCCATATCAGCAGAAGTATTTCTATAACTTTCTTTTTTAAATATATTTTATTGATTTTTTACTGAGAGGAAGAGAGAGGAATAGAGAGTTAGAAACATCGATCAGCTGCCTCTTGCACACTCCCTACTGGGGATGTGCCTGCAACCAGGGTACATGCCCTTGACTGGAATCAAACCTGGGACCTGTCAGTCCGCAGGCAGGCTGACGCTCTATTCACTGAGCCAAACCGGTTTCTGCTATAACTTTATTTCTAATGTTAATATAATTTTCTGTCCCATGTATGTGCTATAATTGAACCAGTCTTTGCTATTAAATGTTTAGGCAGCTGCCACTACCGTGTTTCCCCGAAAATAAGACCTAGCACATGGAAAGATAAGGCATCCCTTAGAGCAACTTTGGGAGAAAAAAATTAATATAAGACACTGTCTTATTTTCGGGGAAACGGTATTATGAACAACATTGTAGTGAATATCTCTAATTAAATCTTTGTATGTCCCTTAATCATGGACTAGGAGTAAAATTGCTGGCTCCAAAGGTCTTTACATTTTTAAATTGTCAAATTGACCTCCAAAAAGAGGGTTTATCAGTTTTTTACCCACCAGCAATTCTAGAGAAAGGCTCAGAACACCATGAAATTTGGGGATTGTTCAGTTTCATAATACTAACAGGAAATGCTTTTATTAGAAGATCCAACAATATTATGTGTACAAGACTCCACATCTCAAAAAATGAAAATATTTTTAAGGAAGTCTATTTTAGCCAGATGGGAATACATACTTTATTAGTGTGGAGGATGAACCCACAGATGGAGACAGAGTATGATAATCAGGTGTGGTGTTTGTCAGCTAAATAAATATTCATTGTCAGTTCCACTTTCATTTTATTTTAGTTCTGGTGTGTTTTTTTGTTGTTTTTTTTAATTTGTACTTACTGATTTTTGTTTGTTTGTTTGTTTTTTAAGGGAGAGAGAGAAAACATTGATGTGAGAGCAAATTATCAATCAGTTGGCTGCCTCTGGCACACAACCTATTGAGAATGTGCCCTGATGGGTTTCAAATTGGCAACCTTTTGCCCTAACCCAGTGGTCGGCAAATTCATTAGTCAACAGAGCGGCAAACCGTGGCTCGAGAGTTTATCCACTCACCAGTTTGGCTCAGTGGATAAAGCGTTGGCCTGTGGACTGAAGAGTCTTGGGTTTGATTTCGGTCAGGGTTGTGTCCTCGATCCCCAGTGTGGGTATGCAGAAGGTAGTGAATCAATGATTCTCTCTCATCATTGATGTTTCTATCTCTCCCTCTCCCTTCCGCTCTGAAATCAATAAAAATATCTCAAAAATTACTTTACAAAAACAAACAGGCAGTCTTTTGGTGCATAGAACAATGCTCAACCAACTGAGCCACACTGGCTAGGGCTTTAAAAAAGTTTTATATAGTTAAGTGAGATGGAATTTTAGTTTTTTAGTCTAAACCAGGTGGATAAGCTTTTGGGTTTGTTTTTTGTTGTTCCATTTTGTGGGGGGGAGAGAGGTGTGTGTGTGTGTGTGTTTTAGTTTTATCCATAAATTTTACTGTTTTCCATTGTCATCTTGTCAACTAAATGATCTGGAACCAAAAGTTTTAAAAAAATTTCTCAAATTTGCTTCAAAAGTCAGTCCTGGGTGTTTGTTTTTTTTTTTTTTTCTCCAGTAATCTGGAAAAATACTTTGAAGTGAATGAATAGGTTGTTCTCAGTTGAAAAATTTCTTTCAGTTACATTACACTTATTTTTTTTTTTTTTTTTTTTTTTTTTTTTTTACTGTTTCAAGTTTCTTTTTTTTTTTTCTTTTTTTTTTTTTAATGCTTTATTTATTATTATTATTTTTTTAAATCAATCTTTATTGTTCATATTATTACAAAGGTTCCTCATTTCTTCCCCCCTCCACCAGGTTCCCACCCCACCCTCCGTCCCCCCCCCATCCCCCATTGTCCTCATCCATAGGTGCAGTTTATGTTCAGTCTCTTCTTCCCTCAATTTCCCCAATAATAAATCCCTTTTCAGATAGTAAATCAGTTACTTAGCATTTTCTCATATCAATAATACCTCCACATGCCCAATGATACACTTCACACAAAAGACATTTCCCACTAGGTCAACCAGCCTCATCCAGGCCCCACCCAAGGCACTCACAGATCAACACCCCAGCCCTATACTAACTCAACACATCCAGATCTAAGCCTTCATCACTTGATTCAGCAGACCCTCAAGTTCCCACGAAAGTTTCCAGCCATGTCTGAGAAGCAGCTGTGGGGCAGGGGCAGGCAAGGAGCGAGCTGTTCTGGGCCTGGCTGCTCAGGGCCTGGCCTCTGTTGCTCTGGTTCATTCCACAACCAGCTGCTCCGGGTCTGGTCACTGCCGCTCCCGACCTAGTTGCTCTGGACTTGGCTGCTGCTGCTCCGGGCCTGGCCGCTCCCAGCCTGGCAGCCGCTGCTCCGGGCTTGGCCGCACCCGACCCGCCTGCTCCCCCGGGCCTGGCCGCTCCCAGCCTGGCAGCCGCTGCTCCGGGCCTGGCCGCACCAGCCCCGCCTGCTCCCCCGGGCCTGGCCGCTCCCAGCCTGGCAGCCGCTGCTCCGGGCCTGGCCGCACCAGCCCCGCCTGCTCCCCGGGGCCTGGCCGCTCCCAGCCTGGCAGCCGCTGCTCCGGGCCTGGCCGCACCAGCCCCGGCTGCTCCCCCGGGCCTGGCCGCTCCCAGCCTGGCAGCCGCTGCTCCGGGCCTGGCCGCACCAGCCCCGCCTGCTCCCCCGGGCCTGGCCGCTCCCAGCCTGGCAGCCGCTGCTCCGGGCCTGTCCGCACCCGACCCGGCTGCTCCCCCGGGCCTGGCCGCTCCCAGCCTGGCAGCCGCTGCTCCGGGCCTGGCCGCACCCGACCCGCCTGCTCCCCCGGGCCTGGCCGCTCCCAGCCTGGCAGCCGCTGCTCCGGGCCTGGCCGCACCCGACCCGCCTGCTCCCCGGGCCTGGCCGCTCCCAGCCTGGCCGCTGCTGCTCCGGGCCTGGCCGCACCCGACCCGCCTGCTCCCCGGGCCTGGCCGCTCCCAGCCTGGCAGCCGCTGCTCCGGGCCTGGCCGCACCAGCCCCGCCTGCTCCCCCGGGCCTGGCCGCTCCCAGCCTGGCAGCCGCTGCTCCGGGCCTGGCCGCTCCAGCCCCGCCTGCTCCCCCGGGCCTGGCCGCTCCCAGCCTGGCAGCCGCTGCTC